TCTGATCCTGAGAAGACTGCTCAATTAATTTCTTTCCCTCTGCCACTGTGCACATTGCCCCCACCCCCACTTTTGTCCTTCCCACTGGGTGGCCGCCTCTGTGCAGTCTCCACAGGCCTTGCATTGTGCATTCCTTGTCTTGGAAGAGCCTGGCTTCCGGGGGCCCAGCCAGAGTAAAGGGTAGAAGGGATGGAGCCTTTAATGAGCTGGTCCGGTGGACTGGCTTCCAAGCCTAAATGGCCCCTTTTCACTCTCCTCCTGCTTCCACAGGACAGACAGTTGCTTTCTGGCCTAATGGGCTCTGCTTTTATGAGAAAGGGACTGTTGGGGGAGGGGCTGTTGGCCCTAACAGGGCCTCTCTGCTGGTTGGGCTGGGAGCTGTGGTTGGACTGGAAGGCCTGATGCACTCTGGGATCTTGGCCTTCTGTGTTATGTGAACTGTGGCGAATCTCTCCACTCTCTGGAGCTTGGGCCCCATGTATAATGACTGAAGGTATTTCTAGTAACATACTGCAGGATCCAGGAGACAGGTTATGGGGGACAAGCCCAGGGTTCTATGCCAGGGGGGCCCACAGTAGATTTTCCCCATGGACCACTTATAGCTTGAATTGAAGACCTCTCCTCCCCATTCATTGTCTGCTGCCCCATCCCCACTGGGCCTGAGTACTTCCTATGCCCTGGGAGGCCCCCATCCTAGGGAGCTTAGGGTCCATATGGGGTCCAATGATGCCTCTAATACCAGGACCCCATCAGAGTCAGAGGGGATGGGGAGGTTGGGGCATGGAGCCCGGAGCTCAAGCCTGTCCAGGAGAGAGAATGGGGCAGGACCAGGGAATCTGGAACTACGTGAAGGTCCTGACCCACAGTACAAGGGGTAAGGGAGCAGAGCCAGTGGAGATGGGGTGCTAGTGGCGTAAACAAAGGGGTCCTGGCCTCCTCATCGGGGTTTCGGAGGCCCAGTTACGCTGCACTGAAGAAGTACCACAGCCGTTTCCATGGCACCGGCCGTTTCCACGGCACCGACCCCATCTGTACTTGGGTTTCGGCTGCATTGAGGCCACTGTTCCTGCATCCCAGAAGGACTTGAAACTAGGTCAGCTTGTACCTCTGCCTCCTTGAGGCAGCTGTAGTGGGACATACATGGTCAGTCAGTGTGTTCTCCCACTGGCCTCCCAAAGGCTGGACTTGGGGAAACTCCAGTCTAGGGGCTTAGGTAGGCTCTGAGGAGAGAGGGCACCCAGTGATGCTTGGGCCAGATGTTTGACCAGAGGGGGGCCCCTGAGCATGTTACAGCGGTAGAGGGCTGCGTGGCCATGGGGTGTTTGGCTTCCCAGAGCTGCCATGACAGATCATGGAAGGGCGGTTTAACTTCAGGAATGGACTACACAGCCACTCTGCAGATTTGCAGTCTAGGCTGAGGCCTCCTGGGGCTGGGAGGGCGGATCCTCCCCAGGCCCCTGCATAGCTCCTGGAGTGCTGATGGATTTGGTGTTGTGGAGTTCTCATCCTGCTTTTCAACTTTATCTTAAGGGATGCAGTGTCCTCCCTGTATGTGTGTGTCTCCCAATTTTTCTGTCTTGTAAGGCTATGTAGGTCATACTAGGCGAAGGTCCACTCTGACGACATCATTGCAGTGACCCCCGTCTCCAAACAGTCACCTTGACATATCAGGGGGTTCATTCTGAAGTAGGTGCAGGTTTTGGGGAAAAGTTCAGTCATGTCTGAGAAGAGGTGTCTTCTCCCTCCTCATACCGGAAGCAGGAAGTCACCTTAGCTGCAGGCTGGTGGTGCACCAGGGATTCTAAGACTCTCACTAAGGAAGACTAGTCCCAAGTTGACAGAGTCCTGGGGGTGGGGACCTTTGCTTTCCAGAATTGATGATGACTATGATTGGCCTGTGTCCTTTCTGGATGTGAGAACCCTGGGCAGGCTATGCATCTGACCTGGGGGCCTCAAGTCTGCATCATACACAGGTATTTTGTCTTTGATAGTCTGGGGAACACAGCCTTAGGGTGTAGGAACCAAGTCCCTTTTCTGTGGCTACGGAGCATAGGTGCTGTGGATCAGGCTTGTGGGGGGATGGAAGTTGTAGGCTATTGTGTGGCATTGTAGGCCTCCTGGACTACTGGGGCCTCTCTTGGGAAACTTCAGGCCCTAGGTGTGGGTGACACATCAGTGCTCACTCAAAATTCGTCCCTGGCTCTAGGACTAAGATGATGCCTCAGCCATCTAGGTCTCTGGGGTTGGGATGGGGCCTCTGTGAGGATGGGAGGAGGAGGCAGACACTGTAATACCTCAAGAGGAACAAGTCAGGGGAGAAGCCCATGAGCCTGGGTCATAACAACAGGCTAGAAGGCATTCACTGACAACAGAAGGGGAGGGAATTGTGATATGCCCAGCAATGAGTACCTCCCCTGTAAGACAGTGAGCATGCCCCGCCTCCCACGCACACAAACACCCAGATGAGCTGTGCAGGTATGAGAGTGCCTGCAAGAGGTAGGACTGGGAGGGTGACAGGGTACCCTAGACATCAGCTACTTTGGAGGCACAAATGTGCCAGGCAAGGCAGGTAGACCAGTAGGCTGTAGAACCTCAGAACAGGGGAGTTGGAGCATGCAGTGTGACTGTCTTCAGGGGGGACTCACCAGACGACAGGCCTAGTCTGGTGATGCTCTCTGGTATCCGTGAGTCCACCCCAGAGAGAAGGGCCAAGACTCCTGTGTATCTGCAAGTGGGTCTCTTGTCCCGTCTAGTTTGGGGGTCCGTCTGACTTGCCTGGGACTCCGAGGATTAGGTGTCTACTTTAGTCAGGATGGTTGGGAGTCCATAGCATAGAACTAACCAACCTCATTATCTTTGTCCATTGCAGCTATTGTTAACCCCAAACAGCCCAAGGAGACACCCAAGAGCTTCAGCTTTGACTACTCCTACTGGTCTCATACCTCGGTGAGCTGCGTCTGGGGAGAGGCAGGCTGGTGGTGTGAAAACTGGCCCAGCCCTGACTGTAGTGTGACCCTCGGGAGCCCTGAGATCTCCCTAAGCTGCATGTTCTCCTATAAAATGGAATGAAGATCTACCCTATTCTCCTTGAGGGTCACTCTGAGTTGATCACCAACCTCTAAGGACCAGATCCTTCCGCTCACAGTATCACAGCTATGACCATCCACTTAGGTCTTCTCCCCTCTCCCAAATATTCCAAACTCAGAAATCCCAAAGCTGAGCCATATCTGTGAGCTCCAGTATCCTGAAAGCTGAGAGATAGAAGGACTCTAGACTCCTCCCTCCCCAGCCCCCACACCCAGTCCACACCAGGCCCTGCCCATGTTCCACCTCATCCTGGCTCCTTCTAGAAGCGTGCCATCCATTCCCTCAAGCTCCTTGGCCTCTGGATCTCTGAATGTAGACCCAGAGTTCTTCAGTGCCCCATCTAGTCCTCCTTCATGGTTGTGCCCTTTGGCTTGGCCATGTCCTCCCTCTGCCTGACGAACCCTCTGCCCTCAGGATAATGTCCAGCCTAGACAGTCCCCGAGTCCCCGAGCCCCTGAGTCCCTGAGCCCTGCCTCCTTTCAGCGTTTGCTCTTGCTAAACCCAACACTGTCACAGGAACCGGCTGGGTTGGGCTCTTCTCTCTTCTCTTTGGGTCTTTGCACATGCTACACTCTGCTGTGATTTCTTTACCCCCCTCTGCCGCCCAGCCACCCTCTGACTCTCATTTGTGACTCAGAGGACCCCTCAGAAAGCCATCCACAGTCAAGATTAGGATGTACTATAGCATATCCCTTATCCAGAGGCCCTGGCCCTACTTGGGCTCTGAGGATTCAGGGACACTCTCAGGGCCCGTAGCCTTCTACAGCCACACCTCTTCTCTCTGCAGCCCGAGGACATCAACTATGCCTCTCAGAAGCAGGTGTACAGGGACATTGGAGAAGAGATGCTCCAGCATGCCTTCGAGGGCTACAATGTGTGCATCTTTGCCTATGGGCAGACAGGGGCGGGCAAGTCCTACACCATGATGGGGAAGCAAGAGAAGGACCAACAAGGCATCATCCCACAGGCATGCGTGGGGCCTAGAAAGGGTCGTGGGAGGTGGCCTGGGAGGAGGAAGGGGTAGGGCCTGGGATGCGCTACAGGAGGGGGTCAGCCTTTGACAGTACCCAGTGGGGGCATATACACAAGATAAGGCACTGGCGGGGGAGATGTTCTCTGTGGGGGTTGTGAAGATTGGGGGCAGATGTCAGGTAGCCTGGACAAGGGGTGACGACATGTTTGAGATATAGACGGCTCCTCAGAAGCCACTAAAAGTCTGACCTCTCCCAGCCCTTCCTCTCCTCCCAGCAGGAGGCCTCTGGATCCAAGCTGGGCCAGCACTTGTCCTGGTCAGAGAAGGAGGAATGCTGGGTCCGCTGAGGAACAATGGCCCCAGCCTCTATGCAGATGAGGACAGGGTGACAAATAGATAATCTTGGAAAGGGCCAGATACTAACCAGGGGGACACTAGAGTCAGAAGATGGGGTGCTTGGATTCAGGCCTTTATATTGGAATGCGTATCTTGGAGGGACCAGAGGAGTCTGACCAAGCAGCACCCCATCTGGGTACAAGCTGCCCACAGCATGATGAGGGACAGGGCTCCGGGCCACCAGTCCTCATCAGCTAACTTGTTTTCCTCTATCCTTGAAGCTCTGTGAAGACCTCTTCTCTCGCATCAATGACACGACCAATGACAACATGTCCTACTCCGTGGAGGTAGGACCGCCTGCCTGCTGCCTGCTTCTGAGTGTAGATCTGGGGAGTTCTAGGCATGGTCGGTGATGCTTCTGTGACCTAAAATGATTATCTATTCCTGTCACCTGTCTGCACAATGACTGTGTCAGCAGGCCCACATGGGACTTGGAAACTCTCAGAGCTCAGGGGTGATGGGAAGTTGACCCCTGGCAGGTGTTTATTACATAGCTACTCATTCTGCCCGGTGTAGGGGAAGACACCACAAAGCCTGGGCTGTACTGTGGCTTCATCCTTGAAGCTGAGGTCGCTCCAGGGTGACCACAGCGGTTTGTGTTATGTGGCTAGTCTCAAGATGGCTCTGAGTGGGAGAGGGCTGGGTAGGTGGAAATAGGCTGACCCTGGCTGAGTATTCTCTGTGTGTCCTGCTCAGTAGGCAGGCAGCCACTGTCCTGCCTTGGAGTCCCTGATGGTATAGCTTGGTCCTGTCAGTTACATGGAGGAAGGGCTGGGCAGTTAGAGGTGGGATGACATCCACACTCATGCAGAGGCCACAGGCTGGATGCCCTGTGTGCCCTTTCCAGGGATCAACTCTCTGCCATGCCACAGGGTTCTGATGATGCAGCTCAGTCTAACTTGGAGCTCTGACAGTGCAGTTCAGCTCCACTTGGGGTCCTGATGGTGCAGTTCAGCATCACTTGGGATCCTGACGGTGCAGCTTAGCTTCACTTGGGGTCCTGATGGTGCAGTTCAGCATCACTTGGGGTCCTGATGGTGCAGTTCAGCATCACTTGGGGTCCCGATTGTGCAGCCTAGCCTTACTTGGGGTCCCGGTGGTGTTGCTCTTCAGGTCAGCTACATGGAGATTTACTGTGAGCGGGTCCGTGACCTCCTGAACCCCAAGAACAAAGGCAACCTGCGTGTGAGGGAACACCCTCTGCTGGGGCCCTATGTGGAAGACCTCTCCAAACTGGCTGTAACCTCCTACAATGACATCCAGGACCTCATGGACTCAGGGAACAAGGCTAGGTAGGTGGGATGACTTGTCCTCCTTAGCCATACTCTCTCCTCTGGCCTGGTTCTTGGGGGCACTATTGACTTCACCTTCTGATAGGTCTGTGTGGTGGCTCCCAAGGAGGCATGGGCCTCATGTGCCAGACCACGGAGGACATGTGTCAGCCTGAGAGAGGCATTGGCTTCCAGCTGCATGAGGGCTGCTCCTAGGCTGAGCAAATGGGCTGTGTGGCACTGTCACCTCCATCAACGAGGCCCTGATAGCAATACCAATGGCTCCGAGCCAGTCTTTGGGCCCAAGGGCAGCTATTCCGTTAGGCCTGGGTCTAGACACTGTGAGGGTTCATCATGGTGGCCATAAGCAATCCACTTACTTTGGCCTGGGACACTGATTGTCCTGATGGTCCTTCTGACACACATTGATTGCCCCAGGTTGCTCAGGTGATTGCCTTCAGCTCCTGGGGTAGTGTGTGTGTGTGTGTGTGTGTGTGTGTGTCCTGAGCTACCCCAACAGTCCTTCAGTGTTGTTCATAAAGCCCCTCAGAGCATGTAAGGGACAGTGTGACCTTTGCAGGTTCTGAGCTGTTGCAGTGAACTCCATCTTGGGAGATTCTTTGAGGTGCTTAGCGGATTGGGGCAGTTTGGGATCAACCCCCATCTGTCTCAAGCAGCTTTGGGCTCTTTCCCTGATGGGCCACAGAGTTGGCACATATTACCTTCTGTGGGGTATGGCTACTGAGGACATGGCACTGGCCTAAGAGTGGCTGGAGTGGCATGAAATGGGTGATGGGTATTTTTCCCTTCCAAGGGGCTTTCCCGCATCAAAGCCTGTGAGGACTTCCGTCCAGTTGGGTGACGTTGAACCTTAGTAGCAGGAAGCACTGGAGCCACTGTACCCCTGCCCCCATATGTATGACATTATTGAGGGTTGAGCACATCCATGATAGACCAGCAGGTGGGAACTGGGCTTGAGTTTTGGTAGACAATATGGTCACAACTAGGCTGAAGAATTTGAGTTCCAGTGACCTAGGTGAGCACACTACTGCCACTAGTGACCCTCATGCCTGATCACCGGGTAAGGGGCAGAAAACCTCAAGCGCATTCCTGCCCCCAGGACTGTGGCGGCCACAAACATGAATGAGACCAGCAGCCGTTCCCACGCTGTCTTCAACATCATCTTCACCCAGAAGCGCCATGATGCAGAGACCAACATTACCACAGAGAAAGTGAGCATGCGGAGAGGTCTGGGTGGGCAGATTCCACCTAGGGTGGTAGCTGTCACTGGGCTGGGGGTGGAAGGTTACGGTGGTGTTTGTGGACCCTTGGTAAAGGCTGGTAGGGCAGGGTCTCCTGCTCTCCCTGGAGAGACGGGGTCCCAACTGGGAACAGGACATGCGGAGGGCAGTGTTTTCTTAGGTAGAGTGCCAATGCTGAGGGAGCACAGCCCTGGCAGTCCATGTTCCAGATGCCCTTCCTACAAGGCACACCTTGGCATTCTCAATGGATTGGGACATTGTCTGGGTGTTGTTTCCGGGGGTCTTTATCTTAGTGATCCAATCTGTGAGCTTCTGGGAGGGTAGCGGGGTCATTCTGAGCCTGTCGGTCTCTGTGTCTCTTTGCCTGGAGGTCTTTCTGTGCGAACATTCTCTCAAACTCCTGGGGAAAGAGCTCTGAAGAGGAGCTAAGTGTCCTCTAAGGTCCATGTCAGTCCCTAACAGTGGTGGGGTCACCTGGGCCTGGTGCCATGCTCCCAACTGTGTCCCCATGAAGTAGTCAGAGGCTCAGGAAGGCAGAAGAGGACTGGGTCACTGGAGAGGACAAGGTTTCACTGCCAGGTTTTCTCTGAGAAGATTCCTCTTACATCCAGATGGTCAGGAGAGGCTGTGCCTTCCTGGAGTCATGTAATTGACTCCATCTCTGCAGGGAACCTGGCCAGCGCCTGCCCTATGAGGCAGCCAAGCAACAGCCAAGGCCTTTCATGGATCTGAGTTCAAATTCCATCACAGATGGTTAGAGACATCTGTGAAAATGGGTGACCGTACCTAACTGACTCTACCTCTTGTGCTGCTGTATAGCATGCCCAGCCCAAGGAGGCAGGGCCGTGGGAGATGTGCGCAGCTTCTGAAGAGGTGGTGTGGTACCTTGCTGGGATAGAACATTGAAAAAGCTGTGCATGGGGGTGAAGAAGGAAACTGGGAGGATCAAAGATGGGAAGACCCCAGGGAAGGGGTGTGGCCATAGCTCCTCAAGTGCTTCATGAGACTCTCCTCAGAGGAACAAGATGCCCCTGAGGGGGCTTTGCGGCAGGAGATTGAATTTGATGCATCTGCCATTTCAGGTGAGCAAAATCAGCCTTGTGGACCTGGCTGGCAGTGAACGAGCTGATTCCACCGGAGCCAAGGGCACACGACTCAAGGTAGGGCCAGGCTGTCACACCCAGAAAGGGCAGTGAGTCCGCTCGGAGGCCCAGTGTCCAAGCATTTGCTGCTCCAGGGTGGGCTGGACAGAAATTCTGTGTGGGGATGGAGCAAGACTGGGCCACCATCAAAGGCAAACCTGTACAGGAACGGTGGGCTACACAGGCTGGAGCCTTTGGTCTTCAGTAGACAGAATACCAAGCTCGGCACCCCAGCTCTAGTATACAAGGACAGATACCAGCCAGAGAGTAAGCTCATAGTGTCCTTCACTGTACTTCATATCCAGTATGTTTTATTTCCCACCCTAGAGGAGACAGGCTGTGGGGTAGCAGTGGACTGAGCTGACCAGCCTGTGTCCTGAGGGCACACCCTTTCTGAAAACAGTCTTGCATGTCAGGAAGGAGCATTTTTATGTTTCTGAGTGTCTCCTAACTTTGACTCATCATGCCTGTGGTCTGTTGATTGGGAAGGGCCCCCTGTAAGTTGAACTGTGTGGGGACATCTAAGAGATTATCTAGGATGCTGATGGGAGCTGAGCGAGAACTCTGGACCTCTGACCAGCTAGCTGCCTGCCCCCAGCCTCCTCTGTGCCTAGTGACCTCAGAGATCAGCTTCAGGGCCTCAGCCCCATGCCACACGGACCAGACCCCTGGGGATCATGCTAGATCAAGAGGCTGCAGGTACCACCTGCCCCCCTGATCACCTTCTCTACACACAGGAGGGAGCCAACATCAACAAGTCTTTGACCACCCTGGGAAAGGTCATCTCTGCCCTGGCTGAAATGGTGAGCATGCTCCGGGCTTCTGGAGCTCAATTGGTGGGATGGGCTACAGAGGTGTGACCCTCACCTGCCCCCAAGGAAAGGCTGGGTGTCTTCACACATGTCCCTAGGTTCTAATTTTAGAGAGAGAGAGCTCGGACTCAAGAGTAAGTCCAGAGATGGAAATGAAATAACAATCCTTGTTACTCTCTAGAACCCCGATTTTCTTACCTGTAACAAAGGGATGGTGTGCCTCCTTGGTCTCACCTTTCTAAGGATTACCACATGTCAGCTGTGAACGTGCTGGCTGGCGTCCTTGTGGACGGGTACTACAGTGCTTAGCTCTGACCAGTGCTGGTCTGACAAAGGCCATCCTCTAGAGGGAGCCCACAGTCCTTGGAGGCGAGGAGCTAGGTGTGACAGACACTGGAGGACAGACAGCAGTGTCTACCCACCAAAACATCCCGGGAAGGATTCTAGAGACTGTGTCCTATTCTGAAATTATCCAGAGTATGCGGAGACTGCTGTGTGACGGCAGCCTGAGAAGCCACACTCTTACGTGATTTGCGTGTCATGACCAGCTCAGGGTGGCCAGCTGTGTCTGGGCAGTGAGTGACAGATACCTGGCTTCTGCCTACAATCGGTCCCTCTGGAGCCAGCCTGTCCTCCCTGCCCACGGTACCCCTGGACCCCAGAACCTCTGGGTTCTTAGACTCTCTGTTCTTTGTTTTTCAGGACTCTGGACCCAACAAGGTAAGCTGAGTTCTTTAACTTCGAGGGAGAGGGGGTGGAAACAAGAGTGCCCTTGAACCCAGCTCCCTACTCTGTACACCTTAGCAGCAGAGTCTATACCCCATTCATTCACTTCATGAAAAAACACAAAGTGCACTTCTGAGCTGGGGACCTGCGTTAGCAGCCGGGTCTTAGGATGAACAGCACATCTGGCTCCACAGCTGGGGAGGGGCACAATACACAGAAACATGAAAATGTAATTACCAATTGGGATGAATTCTACACAGGGTGAGGAAGGTCTTCAGTGGTGGCCCCAAAGTGGAATTCTGTAATCTGAATGGATAGAAAGCTTTCTAGAGATACACGGCCTCAGGCAGAAGACCCGAGAACTGGCGGGGAGCCAGAAGGGCTGATGTAAGATGCTGAGGTGGTAGAAGTTTTTGGTATGTGTAGGGAACTGTGGGAGCTACTAAGAGGCAATATGGGAGAAAGCAGGTGAAGAGCGTGTGGAATTATATGAGGAAGTATGTGAAAAGGTGCAGGGATTGTGTGAGGGAAACACAAGGAACTGTGTGGGCAACTGTGAAATACCACGTGACAGACTGTAAGGAAAGGAGTGAGGAAGTGAGAGCGAATGCCACTTACACTGGGTGGAGATGTGCAGAAAGCTGTGAGGAACTGTCCCGGGTGTCTTTGAGGAACCGTGAGAAACCTTGGGGGAAATGCCTGAGGAACTTGATGACGGCTTCTGACAGGGACTGACGAAATGATGTGAATTTTGAGACACTGTGGGGTGTGTGAGGTATTACGGGAATATGAGATGAAATTGTGAAATTGTGGGGAGCTCCATGGAAATTTCATGAAGAATCATCAGAAACGTGAATTTTGTGGGACCGCGGGGAGTATGTGAACGGTTTCGAAATGACAGAAGCATTTTAAAGAAACTGAAACGAAGCATGTGCGTGTCGATTCTTTTCTCACTGCTGTGACAAAATCCCCAACAACAACCTGAAAAGGGAAGGGTACTGGCAAGAAGACTCAGTGCACAGAGGTGCTTACCACCAAGCATGACTGACTGAGTCTGAGCCCTCGGGCCTGTGTGGTGAAAGAAAAGCCAACTCCCACAGGTTGTCCTCTGACCGCCACATGTATACAGTGTGTAAACGGAAGTTTCTGTCCTGCCAGCAGCTCCCAAATACCCGGCAGCTGCTTCCCAAATGATTGACTCAGAGACTTAATATTACTTACAAATGTTTAGCCATTAGCTCAGGCTTGTTACTAGCTGACTCTCACACTTAACCCATAATTCTTATCTATGTTTAGCCATGTGGCTCATGGCTTGTTACCTCATGTACTACACATCTTGCTTGCTCAGCGGCTGGCTGGCATCTGCCCCGACCCGGTCCTTCTTCATCTCCATCTTCAGTTTGAATGTCCTGCCTAACCTTATTCTGCCTCGCCATTGGTCAAACAGCTTTATCATCAACCAATGAGAGCAACACGTAGTCACAACATATGGAAGGACATCCCACAGCACTCCTGTGTGTAAATAAATGTTTCTAAACCGAGAAAGGAAGGGTTTATTTGGCTCAGTTTGAGGATATAGCCCACCGTGGTGGGGAAGGCAAGGCAGGGACTTAGGAAGCAGACGGTAATGAATACTACAGCTCAGCTCTCTCCTTTTTACTCAGTCCAGGACCGTGTCAACCCTGTGACGGGAATGGTGTCACTCACATTTATGTTGGTTCGTCACACTTCAATTGACTTAACTAGAAACTCTGTCACAGCTATGCCCAGAGACTTGTCTCCTAGGTGATCATAGATTTCCTTTTTTCAAGTTGACAGTATTTACAATCATGCTGTGGTTTGCGAGCGCCCAAGAGACGTGGGCGTTGTGAGGAGCTGTGAGAAACTAGGAAACTGCGTGAGGAAGCATGTCCAGGACTTTTGAGGATTTGTATGAGGAATTTCGGGGAGTTTAATTATGTGGGCAACTAAATGAGGAATAGGAGCAGCATGGAACTTTGAGGTTCTGTGTGGGAACCTGTGTGAGGAACTGTAAAAAACGGTTTGAGGAACTGTGGAGAATTTTGAGAGAAAATGAACTGTGGAGAGAATGTTACTGAATTGCATAATTGCTGTGTTTAGGATTGGGGAATTATGTGGGAAACTGTGAGGGGATGGATGTGGGTTTAGGAGAAATCGTGTGGGAAACTGGGTGAGGAATGGTGTCTGAGGTGCCTGTGTGGCCATGCTTGAAGATTTGTGAGGAGCTGTGTGGACAGTTTGTGCTGGAACTACAGAGAAGCCGATGACTTAGAGTAGTTGTATAGAATGATGTGAATACTGTGTGGAAGAACAGTGTGAGGTGTGTGTGTATGTGCACGCATGTGTGTAACTTATGAACACTGTGAAGACTTGTGGGGAAACTGAAAAGTGGGTGATGATGTAAGGGATTCTGTGAGAGGTTTGAGGGACAGTAAGAAACTTTTTAGGGAAAAGGTTGTGTGATGACCCTTCATCAACTGTGAGGCTGAGAACTGCGTGAGGAACCCTGAGCGGAATGGTGTGGAACTCTGAGGATCTGTGTCAACTGCTGGGAGGAACAGCTTGAGGAATGGTGTGTTTAACTGTGAGGGGCTGAGGGAGGAGAGTGAGGCAGTGGAAGACCCTGTGAGAACAGTGTAACGAGCTGCGTGAAGGTCCTTGATAAAAACTTCTAGGAACGGAGTGAGTTCTGAAGTTACTGGTTGAGGAACAGAACCTGGAGAGGAGGCAGCTGAAGATGAGGAAAGACAAGGAGGCTGAGGTCTTTGGTCTACCGTTTAGAGTTTGGCTGATTGTAATTTAATAGGAAGCAGTGGGTGAATTTTCAGCAGTGCTGAATCAGATTCAATCTGGGCTGTGCTCAGACATGAACGTAGATTGGGAGTGAGATGGTCTGGCACGGTAGTCGGCAGAATAGAAAGTCAGTGTGGCAGTGATCCAGGCTTGAGATGGCAGAGAGAGAGAGAGAGAGAGAGAGAGAGAGAGAGAGAGAGAGAGAGGAGAGCAAGCGAGTGGGCGGTTGTTCTGGGAAGTGGCAGAGATGACTGGACAGGGCTCCTGGGGGCTGGAATGAGCACTGTAGACTCATGGGTACTGTTGGGCTCCTTGGCTGAAGCGACCAACATATGCTGTGGGACAACATATGACAGAGAATTCAACCTCAGGAACTAGACATTAGAAAGCCAAGCCAGAAATTTTTCTTTTCTTGTACTGAGTTTTCAGAGGCAAAGCAGAAAGTCCCTGGTGTGGTCAAGCTTTCAGGGGGGAGGCGCACTCTTAGGAGCCACTCAGAGAAATTAGTGCCTCAGTTCTGAAACCCACTTTGATGGTATGGCTTCAGGACATCCAAAATTTATACCCTTGTGAGGTAGTGGAGCTCGTCCTAGGGATGATGATGGACTGTGTCTGCATCTGGGGGAATGGGACGACCCTTGAGCTGGTACCTGTGTGCTTCCCTTAGAATGGAGGCTCCAGGGGATAAGGGCTGTGTCTGCTGGCCACAACTGATGCTCAGGGGAGGCACAGAGAGAGCAAATTATTAAAGGAGGGGCTCGGAGTTGACTTCTGAGGGACCGGAGGGAGTTTTGTGGGGAAACTGAGACTGGGTGGACATCGGAAATGCCTCATTAGTGGAGAAGACGTTTCACCCTGCCGGAAGGGGTTGCTGTCCCGGCAGAGGAGGGGAAGACACAGTGGCCAGTGATGTCAACGTCCCTGGTCTCGAGTCCAGTTGAGTGGCCCAGACACATCGGAATGAGTGAGGGAGGAGCCGGAAGGATGTGCTAGCATGGCCTTGATTCCAGCGCAGATTTGAGTTGCCCAGGATTCAGGTGAAGTGTAGGGAGGCACTGAGAACATGGTACTTGCTTCCCTTCCTTCCCCCTCCCCCTTTCCCTTCGCCCTTCCTTTCCCTTCCAGTAGACTCAGGCTTGACCTTGAATGTCCCCACAGAACAAGAAAAAAAAGAAAACAGATTTCATCCCTTACCGAGACTCCGTATTGACCTGGCTTCTCCGGGAAAACCTGGGTGAGTATGTGCCAATTCCCTAGTCACCGGTGGGTGAGCGGCATTAATTCCCTGGTCACTGGGCTTTTGACTTCCCCTCTGCGCTACACCAATCTCCTTGCGAGAAAAGAAACATTTTGTTGCTCAGCCACAACACAGCCTCTTGCCCTTTCTGGACAAGTCCAAAGTAACCCTGGGAGGGCCAGTTGGTTCATAGTACAACCCTTGTGGAAGGCCCTGGGCCTTCCAAACCAAAGCAAGTTTGGGAGGCCACAATGGCCTTTGGGGCCCACAGAATACCTGCTCTGGTGTCTACCTTCGTGGGTGAACTTGTTTAAGGCACCTGAACAAATTCCCACCATCCTCTGGACCTTTAGTTTTGTGTCTATAACACGGACCTAGTTCTTGGTTCTGGGAGTCCTGCTGACCTGCTAGGATTTGAGGGACTGACATTAACCTCCTCCTTGCTGCCTGAATTCTGAGTGGAGAGAGATGATGGAGAGATGAAGGCTGAGAGATGAAGGCTGATGTCTTTTCCAAAATGACCTCAGGGTCCCCTCTGGATACCCTTATAGCTGGAGGAGCTGACACCCGAGGTGATAAAATAGATCTTGGTTGGGACTCCCTGGCTTCCTCGGCTACATGACTCTGCATCCCACAGCTGGTTACGCTGATATCGATCTCAGGCCAGCATCGTGTGTCATGGTGGCCTCACGTATATGAAAGCATGTTGGGTCCTAGTGAGAGGACAGGACTGTTGCCACAATCACCTGTTCCTTCGCCTGAGATGAGACCTAAGGAAGAAGCAGACCTCTCTCATGGGGTCACAACCAGTTTCAGCACTAGAGGAGGTCCTCGGGGAGAATCCTCCCCTATAGCCATTCTTGGGGTGTGTGCCCAAGTCCTTCTCTCCTCATGGTCTCTATCGGAGACTCACTGGAGAGCCACACATCAGGGATGTGGCCCCAGGACACAGTTCTCTGAGGTAAAGCAGGCAAGCCTGGGCAAACTTGGAGCATGGACAGGGTTAGTCCTGAGGAGTGAAGCAGGCTCAGTGTGTAACTTTGTCAGGGCCACTGAGGCAACTGAGCCTAACAGGGTTCACTCTCCAGCACTCAGACAATGAGGAATCCAAGAACCGCTGTTTCTTTAGTTATTACCCACTCTAAGCCAAGAACCCAATGGCAAATATTCAGGCGAGTATTTCAAATGGAAAAGATAAAAATGAGTAGGGAAAAAAAATTGGTCACAAATACTGAAATAAATACCAAAACAACAAGCAAATAAACAACAAAATCAAAACCCAAACACACAAAACAAAACAAAAAAAAAAACTCCCCTCAACTTATCTCTGCTGTAGGGAAAAGGAGGCCCATGGTTGGAAAATGGCTAATGGGAGCTGAGGGGCAGCCAAGGAAGGCCCGACCCGCCACTGTCTACATAACACAGGAGACCTGTAGCTTTAGGAAGAGGACCTAGTGTACAAACTGATTGTCTTCCCACAGGTGGTAACTCAAGGACAGCCATGGTGGCGGCCCTGAGCCCTGCAGACATCAACTATGATGAGACCCTCAGCACACTGAGGTACGTTCTGCAGGGGACCCTGGGGTAAGAACATGTCTTTCCATGTTTCAGCCAAAAACACCAGAAAAAGGGTGTCCCTTTGGGAAGCATTCTGCAGGAACTCAGAGGCCAGCAGTATCGATGCTGGAGCGCCAGGATGTTTGTGGGCCCTGTTCTGTCCCTAGTGTCCTCTGGGGCACATATCAGGGCTGCAGGTGGCCCAGACCTCTGTGGCACCACGTTGGAAAAGACATACTTCTGGCTGTGGAAGTGGAGGACTTTAAATTGGCAAATAAGGGCCAATGAGCTCTCCCAAAATCTCCCACTAAGAGGTGGGCATTTGGGGATGGGAAGCCTGATGCAGAAGGCAGCTTGATTGACTGGGTTGGGAATGTTTGGCCTCTAGAGAGTGTACACTTTCTGTGGAAAATAGAGGTTGTGCCACGGCAAACTCACATGTGCTTCTGGGATGACAAATAGCATGCTGAGCTGGGATAGGCGTGGGTGGCCGTTCTCACATACACATACATCTTGCACCTCTGTTCTAGAACAGCCCTCTTCTCTCGACCCTGGACTGTCAGATTCAGGTCCAAGGCTGTCAGTATGGAGGAGGACACTGCCCTGTGCCTTCTGCCCCAGAACCTCAGTTTCCTAAGTAGACAAGGCAGGCTGGATTATCCCACCTGTAGCTTGTTCCTGGCCAGGGGTCCCAGAGGCTATCCTTTAGGGCAGTGGGGTGATTTCTCATTCTGCCAGCCTAGGTCAAAGATTTTCCCCCCAGCCAAACTCACCAGGCAGAGTTCTGAACACCCCCGGGCATGCTATATGGACCTATCCCCCAACTCCTACATCTCTTTGCTGTCCAGATATGCAGACCGGGCCAAACAGATCCGCTGTAACGCCATTATCAATGAAGACCCCAATAATAAGCTGATTCGAGAGCTGAAGGATGAAGTGACCAGGCTGCGAGACCTGCTGTACGCCCAAGGTCTTGGCGATATCACTGACAGTGAGTGTCTGTGCCAGCCTGCCCTGGGTAGGGCAGGGGCCTCAGACCTAGGGAGCTCTTGGGCCTCATGCCCTCTCTCCTGGGGCCGCCTCCTACTCATGTGCTGTTGACTGTAGCCACAGTTGTCGGGAAGCGTTTAAGCTGTCCACAACCTCATCCCTCCTCCAGCTCCTGGGCAGGATGCCTCGGGGTGGGAGGCCTGGGCGGGCAAGGACGGGGCCGGGTTTTCTGGCCTTGGCCTGGATGGATTGCACGGTTTGGGTTTGGAGCTGGCCCAAGCAGGCCAGGGAATGTTTCCTGGAAGCCCACAGGCCAGCCAGCTGCAGCTGCTGGGATTTCGGTGGGTACCATGTCCCTACACCGAAGACCCACTCTACCCCAAGCTAAGCACTCTGTGAGATGGGTCCATGAACCCTTGGGAGACAAACTGCTCTGTTTCTCTGTCTCTTCCTCCCCTGCCTGCCCTCCCCTTAGCCAACACTGTGCCTGGAGGACCCAAATGTGTGTATTCCCCACTGCCGCTCCGCACCCCTGCTTTCATCCCGGCCATGGGGGCCACAGGGCAGCACGGGTGGGGAGGGAGCCCCCCCATACCTCTCCTGCCTCCCCCACTTCAGGGATGTAAAGTGATGGGGGATTGCATCTGCCTCCCAGCCACGTTTCTGGTTCATCCCTCCCTGTGTGGGAAACGAAGGCCGTAAATAGACAGAGTGCAGCCAAAAGTGGCTGGGGCCAGACTCCCGAGCGCCCCTGGGCCTAGAAAGGTCAGATGTGAGAGCCTGAGGACTTGGAGGGCCAGAAGGCCATGCTCTCCTGGCTCCTGGCCCAGGCAGACCTACCTCTGCCTGCTCCTGCTCCAGCTACCCCCCACGTCTGGGTCCCTGAAAGTGTCTTGAGGCTGAGATAAAGCCATGGTTGCTGCCAAGCCCTGCCCTGCCGAGTCTCCTCCACCCTGATACCTGGATCCTTGGGGTTCACTTCCCCAGTACCCCGTGCTGTCCTGTGCTGGCTGCTGCTTTGCTATGTGTCTGCTTCTGCTGGGAAGGGCCTGGTACTTCTCCTCCAGGCGTCACAGCCCGACTCCCCATCTTTAAGGGCTGACGGGATTCGGGGGTGGTGGTGGAAGAGTAGGGGCTCCCTCAGGAGTGTCCTCCACGCTCCTTCTCCAGGTAGTCTTTGGGCCCACTCTGGGTTCAGCAGGATGCTGAGTACAGCTCGGCTTGCAGCAGAGGTGCAGCCCATCCGCAGAAGGTGGACATGAACATTGGGGTGTAGGGAGGACAGGTGCCTGAGCGAGCTTAGGTGAGCTCCTGGCCTCAGGTGCAGGGGTGCTGTGAGGCGGCTAACGGGCACGGGCCTTGGATGCAGGTACAGGGGCTGCAAAAAGGCCCTAGTCAAAGGGGGAGTGGAGCAGAATGTGGTACAGAGGGGCTGTGGGTGCTGCTGAGGGGAGAGAGCCTGGGGCCAGGCAGGGGAGCAGCAGGGCCGAGGGTAGAGGATCTTGCATGCGCTTGTCCTGGGCGGCTGGGCCAGGCTGCTGGGCCTTGCCTGTGTTTCCCATTTCTTGCCTTCCCTTCCCCTGCCCCCTGCTTCCCCCAACCGCTTCTTTTTCTTCTCTCTCCCTTTCTATCTTGCCCTTGTCCCTTCATGCCTTAGACATGCCCGACCTTGAGAGCAGGAACCATAACTCTGGTGGGGCCCAGCTAAGCCAAGCCCCTAACAATCTCTCCACAGTGACCAATGCCCTGGTGGGCATGAGCCCCTCATCTTCACTCTCAGCCCTGTCCAGCCGTGCGGCCTCTGTGTCCAGTCTCCATGAGCGCATCCTGTTTGCTCCAGGCAGTGAGGAGGCTATTGAAAGGCTGAAGGTGAGGGCCGCCTGGTCCAGGGCACTTCGGGGTGGGGGTGATGGGCATCAGCCTGTAGGACAAGGCAGGCCTAGAGAAGTGAGGGAGGACTCTTGCCTGTGACCTCTGAGATACCCCTTTATGTACAGCCTCGCCTCTCAGGATCAGAGTGATATAATAATGGAAGTCTTTGGGATGTGGCCACCCTGGTGCACTGTGGCCAGCCCACCCACAGCAGCCAGAATAGCTAGTGCATTCAGGCACCAGGCTGCACGAGGTTCAGATAGTGAACTTCTGGGCAGTAAGTGCCTGTGAAGGGTCTCGGACCTCTCTGGATGGCCTTGACCCTGAGTGCCAGGGGAGGGAAGCCCAAGTGAGGACTGTCAGGCACAGGGTTCACACTGAGTCTTGAACTGGGTGAGCGGGCGCCGGTACAGGAAACGGTGGGCTGTGCAGAGGCTGGGATGGGGGCGCCGGCTTCCAGCAGCACCTCTATGGTGCCATTGCGGGTCCTGGCAGCTCTGCCTGGTGTCCTGATGAGCTGCCTTCGCCAAGATGATGTTCAGGCTCTTAGCTGTCTGTTCTCCCTCTCAGATGTGTTCTCTGCTCCCCAACACTGCGCTTGGCTAGCTCCAGCCTCACACTCCTTCCGAATGCAGTGTGGCCCAGTCCTAGGGGCTGAGGGCCCGGGAGACAGGGGGCAGAGGCTAGTGTGAGGGGTAATATAGGGAGACCAAGAAGGAGGGAGCATAAAGCTTCAGGGTGTGGGACGCATGGCCTGTTTGGGACTTGGGGGCAGAAGTGTTGGGGGGGAGGAGCTAGGACATGAGCGGGAAAGGGAACGAGGGACGGTGTCATGGATGAGGCGCGCGGCCATGTCCCGAGAGGGGACTGTTACGTTTGGGAGCTGCGTCCAGTGTTTTCCAGGGGCACTTGCTTCCTCTACCCTCCTGATTTATTCTGCTGTCCTTGTTCCATGGGGTGTGTTCACAGCAGAGTCCGCTGTACCTCCCCCCTCGACCCCTCAGAATCTCGAGTGCCGGGAGGTGCCTGAGAGTCAGCCCGAGTTCTTTGCAGCCCCTTCCCTGGCTCCCCTGCATCCGCTGACACCCTGCCTCCCCACCCCCCACCCCCACCCCCACACGCACACACTCCCTAGGATCTCACTGTGCTTGGTCTCGCTCCCCAGGAAACAGAGAAGATCATCGCTGAACTCAATGAGACCTGGGAGGAGAAGCTGAGGCGGACAGAAGCCATCCGGATGGAGAGGTGAGCAGTGCGGGGGAACAGGCCTGGGGGTGGGGGCACAGCCAGAGAGTCCTGGCCTCCGACCCCGGAAACCCAAGCCCTGGGGGAGGTGGCCTGCCAGCCGTGGGAAAAATCTGTGCTGGCTGACCCAGGCAGCTAATGCGTGGCACTGGCCCCTGGCCATTGAGGCCTTGAGGAACAGATCTGCGGGTGGGCACAGTCCCACCGGTGGACGCTGCCCAGGCATTGCTGATAGTTCCTGGTTGGTGGGTGGGTCGGGCAGAGTGAGGCTTAGTCCTGGAAGCCTCTGAGCCTGTGCTGACGGCAGCTCTGTCTTCCAGGGAAGCCTTGCTGGCTGAGATGGGTGTGGCCATGAGGGAAGATGGTGGCACCTTGGGTGTGTTTTCTCCCAAAAAGGTAGGAGCTGGGCCATGTGCCAATGTGGCAAAGTGGCACTACCACGGGTGGATGCCAAAGGGGGGGGGGCTCTGTCCTGGGGGAAGGTGTAGCAGGATGGAATTCTGGCCCAGGCATGAGTCAGCCTTTCTTAGACTTTGCATTGCGTGGTGACATCCTGGTGGCTGAGTAACGTCACGTGGGTCTCTGAACGGCTTGAGGTTTAGACTGGATCCCTCAAGAGTGGAACAAGACTTGGGAGTGATGCCCAGGCTGGAGAGCTGAGTGTTGTGGACCTACCTCCACTCCTGGTCTGCTGCTTCTGGAAGCTTCCGGCCTTCCTTCCCAGAGCAGTTCCGCAAAAGTCCAGGAAAATGGTCCCCAGCCATAGCCAGTTTCCAGGCTCTGCTTTGTGTCAAAGAAAATGCTGCCCTGGGGGAAGTGGAGTTAGTGACTTGGGCATCTGAGAGACAGGACCAAACACCTGTGGTGGGGGTTCAGCCCCCCTAGATTCTGCTGTCCAGCTGTGGTCTGGGCCTGCTTAGAAACAATGTATCAAAGGATAGCTTGAGGTGGGGGGCATGAGGGAGGCCCAGGTGTAGGTGTCCCTGTGGGCTCGGGCCAGGCAGGCCCTGTAGCCAGTTCACTGCGCCACACACAGAGGGGCTCACTTCAACTTGCTCAAAAGTGAAATACATTGACAGAGAGCCTTTTTTGGCATTCCACATATCTCTGGCTTTCAAGACTAGTGCACTGCCCCGAGGAAGACACAGAACTACAGAGACCCCACCATGTGTCCCCACCAGTGTCCAAGTGAGGGGCGACGTTGCCAGGACATGACATTAGGGGGCTGACCACGTGGACAGTCACCTCTGCGACCAAAGCTTGGGGAGGGCTGGGAAAGGCCACGATGTAGCGTGGGACTCTGCGAGGACCTCAGAGTTCCCGAGACTCGGGGAAAGCGTGGTCCTGCTGAGTCACGATGGTACCACCTCCGCTCTGCTCTTCCTGGCCAGACGAGTTGAGGATGGTCGGTACTGATGGTCAGGACTCTACACCTGTGCTCAAGGGGTGCACTTGGATTTATAGTTTAGTGTGGCAGTGGCTTACCCCAGCGTACCCTGGGGGAACAGGAAGCAGTCCCATCCTGGTACCGCTTCCTTGTTACAGGACCCTTGCTTGGGACACAGGTAGAAGATGGCTCCTTAGAAGCTGGCAGGAGGGGTCTGAGGCAAGAATGACCTGGGATAGGGGGCAGAAGGCAGCTATCAATGGGTGTGGGGTACAGGAGGCAGACCCCTTGACCCGGACACTAACATGCAGGTTAGCCAAGTGGTGACTCCATCAGCTGGTTCTTCCCAGGCCTCCAGAGAGACTCTTCATGGCCAGGGCACTCATCCCTGCTTACTGATGGTTTCACTGGAGAACCTTCTGTTCCAGGTTGTCCCCCTGGAATGAGCTTTCTGGAGCCTCCTTGTATGGTGCAGAGTCAGATGCCTAGGACTCTTGGGATGGGGTGCAGGACCAACCCTGGAACCCAGAGTGTACCCTACACACCCAGGACCTACCCACACAGATTCCATCTAAGCCTTAGATGGGGCCTTCCAAGAACTGATCCCCTTGCAGCCCAGCTCCCCACAAAATCTTCAGGCCCTTGAGCCTGCTGCTGTCAAGATGGGCTGAGCCTGGACCCAGGGCTTTCTTTGTCCTTCATTTCCCTGACAAAGACTTGCCAATCTGGTGAGGCCAGCTTGAGCTTGGGGCTCTGGGGTTCTGGATGCCCTCCTAAAGAGTCCATGGGTACCCTTGTCCTCCATGTCTCTTTTCTTCTATACCAGGCTGGGGAGGGCACTATGTCCCCAACAAGGCCAGGTCTGAGGATGGCGGTGGTCTGGTGCCTGAGCAGAGGGCAGGCGGGATGGCCACGGTGAGGATTCTGCTCCCCCGCAGGAGAGTGACCCTTCTTGTTTTTCCCCAGACACCTCATCTTGTCAACCTGAACGAGGATCCGCTGATGTCTGAGTGCCTCCTCTACTACATCAAAGATGGAGTCACCAGGTAGGGACTGGATGGGTCATCAGGTGGAGGGAAGGGTATCCAGCTGAGGGAATCACAAGGTGAGGGTGCTATAGCATCTCTAGCCAATCTGGGTTTATGGGTTGGGGGGTGTGGGCCCCCGGTTCCCACTATCCTGCACTGTCCCATAAGAGCTGAGTTGGGTATCAGCCCTTTGTGGCCCACACTGCTTTTCCAAAGTGCTTTTGGGGGCATCTGGATTTCGGTATAGCTGGGCTGCACTGGAGGTCTGGTGCCCACTCTTGCTTCCCTGTATTCCCATAGTACACATATCCTGGTATTTAAAAACAAAACCAGAAATGAAACAAACCACGAAAACCAGCTGGGCATCCCTGGGAGCCTGCATGTAGGAGTGGGGCCAGGCAGAGTGGGTGTGCCGGGGCCCTGCTGCTAGGCTGCCCCTGATTCCTCAACAGAGTGGGCAGAGAAGATGCAGAGAGGCGGCAAGACATCGTCCTGAGTGGGCACTTCATCAAGGAGGAGCATTGTATCTTCCGGAGCGACTCCCGGGGAGGTGGAGAAGGTAGTGCTGTCCTGCCTCGCCCCCCCCACACCCATCCTGCCCACCCCCATCTTGCTGACCAGGCATTAGTGAGACCTAGTGGGTCTGCCCTCGGAGGGCACACTACTCATCCACCCAGCTTCCTGGCTCTAAGTGGAACCTGAATCATACTCCTGGACAGGGACTGTATGAGCCTTGAGGATAGCTGAGTGACACCCTCTATTAGAAAGATATTTGGGAAAGGCCTGGTTGATTCCTGCGGCCAAGTGGCGGTGGCTCTGGGGAGCCAGCTGCCTTGAAGGGTGGAGCCCAGGGGTATGGTGGGATCCTGGGACAAGGAGGGTGCTAAGCATGTTAAGTAATCAGGTAGGTGTCAGCAATGCTTACAGCAGGGGTGTGTGTGGGCAGAGGGACAGCAGGCCACCTGGATGGAGCCCGCTCTGGGGTTGAAGGGGTTTTGAGAGCATCCTCTCCAGTTGGCTGGGGAGCAGCTGTCTGTTTTCTCGGCCTGCCCACCACTGCCCTGCAGAGGATGGTGCTGCCTCGGAGCTGGTGTGCAGACACTGTGTCCATGCCTCAGTGCAGGGCTGGTGTCCAAGCCAGGAGGCATCTGACCGTCCTCAGGCCTGCGAATTCATTACTGAATCCGTGTCTAACTTGCTACCTTGGGATAGTGGCCTGAAATGGTGTTCAGGACAATTGTCACTCCTAGATTTTTCCGTCCACAAATCCCCATTTCTCTCCTGTGCAGAGGAGTCAAGGGGATCTAGGGCCTCCTGGGGACATGTTAGCCACTATTTCTTATTCTTGTCCGCTTAGAGACCTGAATAAGAACATGAGAAGTGAAGCTCAGCCTTGGCTTGGGCCCAGGAGTCTCCCTCTTGACATTTTTCTCCTTTACTAAGTGATGAGACCCTTAGGTTCATCCAAGGGGGTCTTACTCATGGTCAGGTTCTGTGGCCAGCCTGGAATGAGAAACCTGAGTGGTGCCCACCAGGGGCCAGGAGAGCCGAGCAGCTGAAGTAACGACCTCTTACAGTACCCCTCTTATGTGTCTTGTAGCCGTGGTGACCCTGGAGCCCTGTGAAGGAGCTGACACGTATGTCAATGGCAAGAAAGTCACTGAGCCCAGCATCCTGCGGTCAGGTATGGTTGGGAGCACCAGAGCACTGCAGGGTAGACGAGGCAAAGTCTTTGCGCTCATCCTCTCAGGACAGTCGGCTCCTGACAAAAGGCAGCTTTGCTAGGGGGACATGAGCATCCCTGAGATCCTCTAGTCCCCAGATTGGGCACTTGAGGACTAGAGTGCCTGGGCCTGAGACTATAAACACAGAGGAGATCTCAAATGGTCACTTTGTTGGACTAGGCTCAGGAGAAAGGGCAGGAAATGACAGACGGTTGGCCAAACTGTGGTGTTACAGAGCAGTCAATGTGGGACAGGTCACCACCCTCTGCTATAAAAACCACGCATGGAAGCGTTAGTCTCTTTTGGGAAAGTCATTTAGGATGTATAGGGTGGGTCCCCAGATGATGTAGCTCTTGCCTGCATGATGGGAGGCATGGATGTACATGTGGCTGAAGACAGAGCTGGGCGGATGAGTCTGAGGCATACACACATGAATAAGGAGACTGTCAAGGAACTGACTCACAGGAGAGTCAATCACCATCTGTTGCTATGACAAAGTATCAGAGGAAACAATTTAGGGGAAGAAGGATTGCTTTGGGCTTACAGTTTCCAAGTCTGTAGTCCATCTCCATTGCCTTGGGCCTGTAGTAGTCAGAGCATCATTGTGGGACTTTGTGGTGGAACAGAGCTGCTTACCTCTCGGTAGCCAGGAAGCAGAGGAAAGAATAAGCAGGTTCTGGGAACAGGATATACCCTTCAAAGGCATACTCTCTACTTCCTCCAACAAGCCCCGCCCCCTAGTCACTCACTCATCCACTGGTGAGCTAATTAATAGATTAATCTACCAATGAAGTTAGTACTCTCATGATCTGATCACCTCTCAATAGTACCACTGGCTGGACCCCCAACCTTCAACATATGAACCTTTGAGGGAGACACCATATTGAACCCATAACATTCTACCCATGGTCTCCCAGCCTGTGTCCATCTCACAATGCAAAGTGCATTCCATCTTGTCTTCAAGAGTCTCCATGCACTTGAAGTTCCATCATTGCTTAAGAGCCCGGGAGTTTAAGGTGTCCTCTTAGACTCAGAGCAAACTTTAGGGCGAGCCTTTGTAAAATCAAAATGACACACTTCTGGTATATGATGAGACAGGATGTACATTTCCCACACTGAAGGGGAGGAATAGAAAATTAGCAAGGAGGAATGGGACTGAAGCCAGACAAAAACCCAGCAGGGCAAACATTCATTCCTATAGCTCCATGTTCCGAAGCTAAGGCATATGGTGGTGTAATGTGAACTTCAAAGGCCCTGGTAGCCTCATCCCTCTGGCCTCTCCAGCTGTAACCCACAAGACTTATTTCCTGAGAAGTCTTTGCTTGTGGCTCATGGCTTTCCTCGGAAGATAATCTGTGTTCTTGGCGTCTCTAGCATCCTAGGGTCTTCATAACAACACAGCATTTACTCTCACGGCTTTATATACTGTCCTCTCGAGGTCTGCCTGTGAGGGATTGAACCCTACTCTGTACATATTACCTGACCTCTCAGGACTTCCTTTGAAATCTATTTGGAAGCCTCTGTGACCACACAACCCTAATGGTTCATATATCTGCAAAATCAGCATCCCTGGACAATGCTAAAACCTACTGCCAGCTTGAGAGGTAACGGGGCCTGCTTGGATCATGGCTGCAGTGGCCACCGAGTGCCTGAATGATTGGACACAGGGAAGTGCTTACTGAGACAGCCTGTGTACACACCTTCCTTGGTTCTACTAGAACTTGCAGGTTTTCAAATCTTTCTGCTCCCCATTCTCACTGTAAACCTGGCAAACAGCAGTCATTAAAGCCCATGTCCCGGCTGCCTGGATGCTATGCTGCCTTGACATGTCTTCCGCTAAATTAATTAGTCCAACGCCAAAATCCAGCCTCTCACACAGTCTTAGCACATGGACAAAATGGAGCCAGGTTCTGGCCAGAACATAATGTGAATAGCCTCTAGCCCAAGTCCTAATGGAATCCTTGTTCTCATCTGAAACCTCACAAGCAGTCTTTACATCTGCTTTCCAATGGGTGGTTGAATCCTTTTTAACTTCTGCCAGAATTAAGCTTCCCTTACAGCATCCTGGGGCTTCTATAGCCTGTGGCTCTAAACTTTACCAAATCCCTCCTACAAAACCTAAACCACATAGTCAAGGGTCTAGATTTGGGAGACAAGAAAGGGACCCATTCCAAGGAGAAAGATCGGGATGGAGAGGTGGCTCAGAGGCTACGAGCACTGGGTGCTCTTCCAGAGGTCCCAGCAACCATACGGTGGCACAACCATCTTTAATAAGATCTGGTGTCCTCTTTTAAATTTTTAAGAAGGGGAAGGAGAAAGAGAGAGAGAGAGAGAGAGAGAGAGAGAGAGAGAGAGAGAGAGAGAGAGAGAGATTCCAAGGAGAAAGGTGATTTGGAGCCAGGGTTTTGGGGGTTGGATGCTCTTCCCGAGGTGGGTGATGCTGGGATACCCAGGCAGATGAAATGCCTGCACCCCTTTCTCCCTTCTCCTTCTCCCACCCCTTGAGGGCACCTGGAACCCACAGGCACCTCAAGGCTGGTTCTGCCTCCATCTCCCAGGAAACCGCATCATCATGGGTAAGAGCCACGTGTTCCGGTTTAACCACCCCGAGCAGGCCCGCCAAGAGCGTGAGCGAACACCCTGTGCTGAGACACCTGCTGAGCCAGTGGACTGGGCCTTCGCCCAGCGTGAGCTGCTGGAAAAACAGGGCATCGACATGAAGCAGGAGATGGAGCAGAGGTGAGGCCTAGGGTCAGCTGCCCGCCTGCCGAGTCTGATGGCCTTGTGTTCACCTGACGCGCTCTTACAGGCTCCAGGAGCTGGAAGACCAGTACCGGCGGGAACGGGAGGAGGCCACGTACCTGCTGGAGCAGCAGAGGCTGGTGAGGATGCCCGCCCGGCTTCACAGGCCCCTATTTGCACACTGGGAAAGTGGATCTCTGCCCCCTCTGGCCACCCTCCCTGCTGGCCTGGCCCTTCTCTTGCACTCCAGTGGGCTGGGGTGAGGCTGTCTCCATCTCTGTGGTGGTACCACTGGCCCTGCCTATTTCTTCAGGACTATGAGAGTAAGCTGGAGGCCCTCCAGAAGCAGATGGATTCCAGGTACTACCCAGAGGTGAATGAGGAGGAGGAAGAACCAGAGGATGAAGGTAAGGACTCTTGAGATGGCATGTCTCCCACCAACAGGGCCTGAAAGAGCAGGTCCCCAGGTGGCCCCCTGGAAGTCAGTTGATCTGAACTTTGGCCCTGGGAGATAGACCTCTTCATTCTGGCTACTGTCGTACAGACGGGATTGGGGAGGCCGTACCGAAGCAAGTGACCACGCATCTCACACGCTCAGGCCCGTGTTTGCTAATGGGAGTGGGCCAGGACAGAACCATGGGTGCTGGCGAGGACTCGCCTTGCTCACTGTGTGGTAGATGGAGGCCTTGACCAAAGCCCTGGTTCACTCTGCACCTCATCTGAGGACCCCCTTTCTCTGGGGGGCTCCGTGAACAAGGGGCATGTCGACCTCCCCTCCAGCCCCGCAAGACAGATGTGGCTGTCACTGGTGATATGGCCTCTGAGCTGCTTTGGCTTTCAACCTATTAGGGAAGCTCATTTGGGGAGCCCACTTCATCTTTGGGTGACCTGGGGTGTTTCCACACTACTTGTTTGGCTGGTCTTTCTACTGGACTCTCCTTTCTCCACGCTAAAGGGGCTTAGTATGAAATTAGGAATTTGAGCATTGGGGGCACCAGTCCAGCATGGGAGGGGCTGATAGAGCCTTTATCTGGGGAGAGAGGGCCGGAACCCAGCAAGTCTTCCAGTGACTATGGAAGGGCTACTTTATTTAACAGACCGGCTATAGTGTGGACTGGGTACAGGGTCCACCCAGCTAGTCCTCTGGCATTGCCAAGCCATCTTGACCTTTCAGGACTCGGGTTGAGGTAGGCTCTCTTGTGGCTTTCTTTGATGACCCTGTACACGGCTTTTCCCACAGTCCAGTGGACAGAGCGGGAGTGTGAGCTGGCACTGTGGGCCTTTCGGAAATGGAAGTGGTACCAGTTCACTTCTCTACGGGACCTGCTGTGGGGCAATGCCATCTTCCTGAAGGAGGCCAATGCCATCAGTGTGGAGCTAAAGAAGAAGGTAGGGCCCGTCAGAGGGGGTTGGTTCTCCACGAGTGATGGTCTAGTTGCTTATAGTCACAACCCAAGACCTGCACTCAGCCAGCCCTAGAGTTGACTGGGGGCCCTTGCCTGAACTGGGTACCAGTGTGGGCGGCTGAAGGGGGCACCCGCTGAAATCGATATCTTACTGGCTTTGCTTGGGAGTCGGCAAGCAGTGGGGGGGAGGGGGCGGGGCGAGGGGGGTGTCAGCCGTTCTCAGTGGTTAGTTGAAAAGATTGGTGAACTATGGAATATAGGGCTGAGGTCTCAGGGGCGTGGGGCGAAGCCCCCTGGAAACCTGGCTTCCACTCAGCAAGGGGTGGATGCATGGCCATCTTCTGTCCCTTACAGGTCCAGTTCCAGTTCGTCCTCCTCACGGACACCCTCTACTCCCCGCTGCCGCCAGACCTACTGCCCCCAGAAGCTGCCAAAGACCGAGAGACACGGCCCTTCCCCCGGACCATCGTGGCCGTGGAGGTCCAGGACCAGAAGAACGGGGCCACCCACTACTGGACGCTGGAGAAACTCAGGTGCTCCTGGTGGGCGGTGAGGTGGATGGTGGACGGGGGTCTTCCCCGGGGAGAGGACAGACTGGGTTCTGCTTCACAATAACGCCAGTGTGTCATGTTTTTGTTCTTCTGAGCGAACACATAGACAGCAGAGGGGACTGGGAGGTGACACAGTGTCTCCAGCCAGGTCTGTGCCAAGGGCCTCAGAGACAGGGAGGCCCTGGCCTCTCCACTCTGCATGTCTGAGGGAAACCATCCTCCTCAGCCCCCAGAAGGCTGAGGACCTGGGAAGGTGGAAGGACATCTGTAGTGCTTCGCCATCACTGAATTTTTCCACTGCTTGTGTGTTGTAAGAGCTCTGTCTCCTTGGACTCCTCCTCTAATTTATGCCAAGTCTCCATGTGTGAAGGTGACCGGGTAATGACAGAGACATCTGCCATGAGAAGAGTAGGATGCACTCACAGCCCTGGAAATAGGAGGCACAAAGCCTGCAGGGCCATGACTGGCCACCAGAGCAGGCCAGGAAAGGCAGAGTGTTTCTTGGACTTCTGAGGGAAAAAACGGAGCAGCTGGTCTCTAGGGACTCCCTGGAATGAGGCCAGACTTGGGCAAGGGCCTTTCCTAGTTTCTCGATGTCCTGGGTGATTTTAGGCAGGGAGAACGCTGGTCAGGTGCATGAGACTCTAGAAAGAGGGGAAGTAGTGTGGACTTGGGGTCTGTTGGTTTGTATGTAGAAGGCAGGCTCACTAATGAATTGTTAGCTATCTCTAGGGATTCGCTAGATCAGAGGCTCCCAACCTGTGCATCAAGACCCCTTGGGGATGGATGACCCTTTCATAGGGGTCTCCTAAGACCACTGGAAAACACAAATATTCATATTACAGCTCCTAACAGTAGCAAGGTTACAGTTACGAAGTAGCACGAAAATACTTTCACAGTTGGGGGTCCCCACATCTGACTGTATTAAAGGGTCTCGGCATTAGGAAGGTTCAGAATCGCTGAGCTAGATAGAGAGGACCCTTCCCGGTCAGCCAGGCCTCCCGGAGAGAGCGGATATGGACGGTAAAACATGATTAGCAGGCATGCCGTTTTCTCGTTCCATTTGTGTGTGCCTGCAGGCTCTCCTGTGTTCTTCTGCAAAGTTAGTTAGGTTGACGGTAACACCATCAGAGAGGATGCTTATCCCCTAGAAGTCAAACTCCGGGTCCCCTAGAGAGCACAATCTCATTCTCTCCTCCCTACCTTTTGTCCTCCCCGAGGGGTGAGATCTAAAAATACTCTGTCTTCTCTGCTCCCTTCCCTGCCTCACTTGAGCTCACTACGGGAGCTTTCCTGCCTGCGTTACGGTCCCACTTCTGAGTTGTTGTCGGGTGTCTCCCTGCTCCTCTGTCAGCTTCCCAGCTGGGCTCTGCCTCGTCCTCCTGTGTGTTCAGTTCACCTCTGCTGTCACCGAGGAAGACTCGGGAGGCATTTGTGGTGAACTGACATTCTCACTTACTTATACGTTTCCTGTGGCTGCCGAATTCTGAGGACCACGGAGGGCTTCCTAGCTGGCAGACCTCTGAGCCTGTGACCCTGACAGGCTGATGGTGACGGAGCCAGGCCCAGTCTGGTGCCCTAGGAGGAATGGGGTGCTGGGCTACACCTGGGCACTGGTCTGAGCCTACATCGTCTTTGAACCCCGACAGGCAACGCCTGGACCTGATGCGGGAGATGTATGACAGGGCCGCAGAGGTGCCCTCCAGCGTCGTTGAGGACTGTGACAACGTGGTGACTGGCGGGGACCCCTTCTATGACCGCTTCCCCTGGTTCCGGCTGGTGGGCAGGTGGGCACCTCCTCCCCATCCTTGCAGAAAAAGTGAGGGACAGAGGTGGCATGGGGTCAGAACCCAGACCCTGAACCGCCCTGGCCTGAAGTCAAGAAAGAGCCAGGTTCCATTTTTGTCCTCCGCCCCCTCCCCCCCAGTCATTCCTCATCATGTACCTGTAGGGCCAGCTTTTTTAGGAGACCTGGGATGTCATCTTGTCACTGCTGCTACACCTGCTGTGATTCATGTTTGTGAGTGTGAGTGAGTGAGTGAGTGAGTGTGTGTGTGTGTGTGTGTGTGTGTGTGTGTGTGTGTGTGTGTGCCTAAGCACCCAGAGGCCTAGAGCAGGCATTGTAGGTCACTGGTGTTTTGGGGGTGGGGACACAGAGGCAAGATTAGAGACTACCAGCCCCTTGCTTGCTTTCCAATCTGGTGTCTGTACCTAGTCTCCGACCCCCACGTCATCCAAGAGGTCCTCTAAGAGCTTTGGCTAGGGCCAACCTGGACCCTTGTTCTCACTCATACCTGTTGGTGGTGCTTTCCAGAGCCTTCTGCTGACCATGGATTCTGTTGTCGTTATTAGTTTGGGGTGTTTCGTTTTGTTTCCTCTTCCCAGCCCTGGAGACTGGGTGCATTTTTTTTTTTTTTTTTTGTTCCTTGTCTTTTAAAGCAGCGTCTCTTGATGGTTGGTGCTTGGTTTTAAACAGAAGTCCTCCTTGTCCCACCCCGCCCCGCCCCACCTTCCCCGGAGTAGCTGGTGTTAACTTCTTTCTGTCTTGTCGCACTAACCTCAGTTCAGTCATCTCTGGCTGCAACAGCTACCCTCTTCTCAACACATGCATGAGCGAGCGCATGGCTGCTCTCACCCCCTCCCCCACCTTCTCAAGCCCCGACTCCGACACCACCGAGCCTGCCGAGGAGCAGAGCGTGGGGGAGGAGGAGGAGGAGGAGGAGGAGGAGGAGGAGGAGGAGGACCTGGAGGACGACGTCTTTCCGGAGCACACGCTGTGCGACGGCCGGGACCCGTTTTACGACCGGCCCCCCCTGTTCAGTTTAGTAGGAAGGTTGGTGAGGTTGAGGCGCGCATGCTGGGGAGGAACCAGCTCTTTTGCGTAGAAGCACTGCTGTGGCACGATCGATCGGGGGATCAGGGCAGACACCGGACCCTCTGGGCCGGGCAGGCTAGGGCTAGTCTCTGAGGAAGCTGAGAGAGCCAGGCTCACTTTGTGTCTTCACGGTGGGACATGGGCACAGGTAGGAGATGGATGCTCTGTCTCGGCGGGGAAGAGTCTGAGGCCGGTGGCAGGAGAGGCTGGGCCTTGAAACACACAGCTACAGCCAAGGGTTCCTGGTGCCCACTGCGATGGCTGGGATAGTTCCTGTAGGATAGGTCGTAGGAAATGACCAAGACTCCGTGACTCCTTGTGCAGGGCTCAAGGGGCATTTGAGAAGGGAAGAAAGATGTCCCCAGGCAGGATGCCCCAAACCCTTGTCTTGGGAATCAGCTTGGTTCAGCTGAAGTGGCTTCTGCTTATCCCACTGTTGTCCAAAGAGAAGATACCCTATGTATTCAATGCCACTCCGTTCCAAGAAAAAGAGCAGGGCTGGGAGCCACCCAATGTAGGGGAGGAAGGGCTTCTGCCTATCTGCTTTAATTTTGTAGAGCCTAGCAGGTGACAGTAGCTCCAAGCTCCTGACCCACCCGGCCAGCTTGATGAGAGGCATGCACCCTTTGCAGAGAACCCCCGGGCACTGAGTTTCTAGACTAGGTGAGGGAGGCTGGGGTTGGGGCTACAGGGAGGCAGGTCTAGCCACTGGCTGCAGCAGTAAGGCAAAGGTAACTTAGAAATGCTAGGGTTTGTATTCTACCCGCTTGAAACAGCAACAGTAGCATCCTCTCCTGGAGTTTGAGATTGCTTCTAGGACAATGGGAGTCTCAGAACTCTTGATCTTGGAGCACAAGTATTGAAAGCTAAAGGCTGAGCATGGTCCTTTACAGACTATGGACTTTTTATGGAGTTCCTTCCTTCCTTTCTTCCTTCAATGGAGGTGATGGTGTAAGCACCCCTCTCCCTGGGAGGTAGCAGGTCCCAGATCACTGGCTAGGATCTTCTCTGATTAGTTTTCCTAACTGTCATTGGCTGGCATTAGCTATGATGAGCTAGCCAGGTGGACACAAATGGGTAGCCTCTCCCTCTGAGATAGTCTGGGTCTGGACTTCCACCCTGCTGGGCCTGAGCAAGAGGTACAGATTCCAGGCCAGCTCTGTACGGGCTTCTCCCAACAAGCCTTGGGCTATAGCACCAGACCTCCCATGCCTGCTGGGCCCTGGGAGTGGTTCCGGGTGTCAGGTAGGCAAGGGGTCAGGAGATAGAGGGGCCAGTGACGTGAGGAGAAATGGGGTATGGGCTCTGCAGTCTCACGAAAAGAGCTGGGTCCTTCCAACGTTGTTTCCCCTCTTGTGGACCTGAGATTTCACAAAATGACCAAGCTTAGCAAAAGTCATCCATGAGAGGCCTGGCCCCCTGTATCGTGGGGTGCTCTGTGCAAGGCTTCATTTCGGCAACCCTGACCTTTTCAGTTTGGCAAGAATTGGCTTCTCTGCACAGCAGCTATGCAGGCCCAGTCCTGAGGAGGGCTCCACCTTGGTTTTCCTTTTATCCTCTGGTAGCTGCTGGCTCTCTCTCCAAAGCTTAAGCGAAATTGGGGTGCCCACTCTCGTCCCCTCTGGAAAGGCTTCCCTGGGTCCCAGCATGCGTTTCTGCACCTCACCAATCTGTGGTTAGCGCTGCCTCCTCCCTCCGGCCTCGCCACACGTGCCGCTCTGCCCGTTCTTCCCTCCCCGCCTCTTTCGGGTATTTGAGCCTGCTTCAAGGTGCTCTGGATCGGGGCAGTGGTCTCATGGCCATAACCAGGGCCCCTCCTCACATCCAGGGTCTCTGATGGTTAGGCGTCCGGTGGCCCGGGGATGTGGGTGAGTTAGCTGATGCAGTGAGTCCAGAGGCTCCCATTTCCTAGCGAACACACATCCAGAGGATGGGGGCAGGGGGCAGGTATTGCAGAGACAGGACAAGCTCCTCTGGGGGAGGATCTGGAGAGGGCACCAGATGGGTAAATGTTGACCCAGCAAGAGCCTGCACTGATAGCTCCATGCAGCCCGGAGCCTCTTAGCTCCATGCTGGGCCTCCTTATCTGGACCGCCTGTCTTTGCCAGTGTGGCTGTGGACAGTGTTCTTCGACCCTGAGAGCAGCTGGGTGTTTGGCTGGTTGGCATGCCAAGGTTGGCAAGGGCTGTGTTCTCTGACCCTGCAGTGGCTTACACTGTCTTCTAGTTGTTTCTGGTGCCCAGAGAACAGGTAAGAGGAAGGCTAGAGTCTATTGTCCCCCTGAGCAGTGTCTGCCTGGGTGCCCTCATCTCCAGGGGTGCTGGCTGAGTGAGTTCTACTCAGAGTGGGGCACAGAAGTCTTCCAGATTCAGCTTGTGGCCTCTTCAGAACCCGTGCTGTCCCTGGGAGGCATTCCAGGCCCAGAGGTCTCCTCTAGCCGATTGACTTCACCACAGTGCCAAGTGGACTGGGTTGGTTATGTAGATCGTATAGAGAAGGGGGGGGGGCATTGCATCCTTTTTGTCTTCTACAACATCTGGCCCCACAGCTGCAGCTAGGCCCACAGTTCCCACGAGCTGTGCAGAGATCGTGAGGTCAGGGAGGCTCCAGGGGCTTTGGCCACAAATGGGTCTCTTTCAGTACATAACCTCAGCCTCCAGTGGGAGATTAGGGTTAGATGTGGACCACTTTGTTCCTACAGTTTGGATGTGGGCCACGGCAGCCTGGATTTTCCCTCTCTGATGGAAGTTCTGAAAGATGGAGATACAGATTTATACATGATTAGTTGCACTGACGAGCAATGAACAACAGAGTTGAGAGCTCCCTAGAGGGCAACTTGCAGGTCCCATCCTAGCTCTGGCCCTTGCTGCCACCCCTGGCTACTGCCTGATATTTCTATGCATCAGTTTCTTCTCCTGTGAAATGAGCCTGAGTGCCATATTCTACCAGCTCTAATGGGCCCTGCTGGACTCCAGACTTTTTACATCCATAAAAGAGGAGAGCATAGATAGCTAAACTGAGGGGCATCACTGTTAAGACATACTTGATAAACTACCTTCCGGGCATCGGGGAGCAGGTGCTGTCCCAGCATGTGTATTTCTTCTTTGGGTCCTGCGGTCTCTGGGGTCAACCCCATTTTACAATAGGCCCCATAGGGAGCCTAATGTGGGGATTTAACAAGGCAACTCCACGTAGTTAAAAGGAGGTTTATTTTGGGGTTAACTTACAGCCAGTAAAGGGGTTGGTTACAGGATCCGGGAGAGGTGAGGTGCAGTCCAGTGGGGTTCTCTGGAGAACTCTGACTCAGTCTTCCATCCAGCATGCAGTATCACGAGCAACCAAGAGGCCCTGTACATCCTGATCTCCGGTCTTAAGGTCTCAGCCCCGTCCCAGGGACAGGTCATAGGTAGGTGTGGCAGTTACCAGAAGCCTCCCTAGGGGTAGTACTTCCAGGTCAAAGCTGGAATAGCTACCCACTACAGGAGCCTTACCATATGACTTAGACATGACCTTGCCCTGCCTTAGTCTACCTATCTGAGTACTGCTCCAGAACCCCGAGTTCCGGACAGTGGGGGAGGATTAAGCAGTGAGTGTATAAAATCTATGAGCCTCCCTGTGGGTGCTCACAGAGCTGGGGGTATCTCTGTAGTGCTAGTAGGGTACATCTGGATAGCCCAGAACCTGTGCTCTGCTGATTCCAAGCAAGCTCTGTGGCACTGCCTCGCGGGCCCTCTAGGATGTCAGGGCCTTGGCAGAGGTAGGCTTCAGTCTGGCTCAGGGGACCAGAGCAGCCAGCACAGTCCACATCCTTTCCACAGCACTTCCCCAACTGGTACCTTGAACAGAGGGGGTTGGGCTAGTACTCTTCCTGAGAGGGCACCGTGCTAGGGAAAGTTGGGGGAACCACTAAGGCCCCTAGAGGAGGGCTGCCTCCCACCATCTGAGGCCTGACTTTGAGGATTTTGCTAGAACAACTTGCTGAAGCTCGGTCATATATTAAAAGCACAGAAAACCAGAAAGTCTGCAGACAGATTCTTAAAGTCAGAAGATGTGGCTGAGAGGAGAGTGCAAATGGGCTGTTGTCAGGAGAGCAGACAGATAACAGGGACCCATGGGCCCCTGTGGCCAGATGCAGGCGGAACGTAGGGGCAGTAAGATGGGGCTGGCCGTCTTGAACCTCTTAGGGCTTAGATGATTCCGTAAGGAGTGCAGGCATCGCGGAGGCCCTTCCCATCACTGGGAACTTCTATGTGACAGGTTCCCTACAACCCTCTAGGGACAGTGGGAGAGAGAGGCAGAGTGATGGAGAGGCCAGCTGAGGGAGCTCCAGCAAGACTCTTGAGAGAGGTGGTATCTATAGACAGTGAGGGTCAGGGCAGAGCACAGGCTTCTGAGTGACGGCCACACACTCTGAGTCGCACCTGCCCTGAGAAGGGTGACGCTTAGCGATGGCTCGCGTCTGACCTCCAGGTCAGCCGAGCGGGCACAGGTGTTGGTGAAAGGCTCTCCATGGAGGAGGTGCTTGATGGCGCCCAGTGGGAAAGAGGCGTCCGTCCTCGAAGGGTTGAGGCTTGTTAGCGGGTCCCCATTCAGCTCGGGTCCTCCGGCCCTTGAAGCAGGCTGACACCCTCTCTCCAGCTGCCCTCAGACAGCCGCGTCCAGGCTGAGCTGGGCTGTGCCCTCCACCCACGGAGGCCCCTTCCTTCCTCTCTGCACCTTCACCTCGTGTCTCCTCTGGGCACCGACAGCCCTCCTCCCTCACCCCCTTGCCTGTCCCCCCCCCCACCTCGCTGCGTCCGCCCTGGCTGTCCCGCCGCTTCGCTCTGCTCCGCTCCGCTTTGCAGCTTCATGTTGTGTGTGAGCTGGCCTTGGTGTCGCTGCTGTGGCTCAGAGTCACACCCCGAGGGTCGCCCGTGACTATGGCTTCTGCTCCTGCAGGGCCTTCGTGTACCTGAGCAACCTGCTGTACCCTGTGCCCCTGGTGCACCGTGTGGCCATCGTCAGCGAAAAGGGAGAGGTGAAAGGCTTCCTCCGTGTGGCGGTGCAGGCGATCTCAGGTGTGTGGGGGTCCAGGTGGTGCGCGGCTGAGTCCCTTGCGGGGCTTTGCCTTTGTGGGCCATGGCAGGAGGAGGGACACTGTCCAGGATCCAGTATGAAGCTGGCCTTACCCAGGACTCCCCGCCTCCCTGTGGCCAGCATGAAATGTTTCCCCCTTTCACAGACAGGTGGGCAGGTGGGGAGAGAAGCAAAAGTCTCCTGCGCTGAACCCTTGGCTCTGGCCTCCTAGACTAGATAGCGACATCTCAGGCAGGCAGGCTCAGCCCAGGATGCCTAGAGCCTGACCTGGCGTGGAGTCCTCGCCTCTCCCACAGATCAGGTGGACCCAGAGATTGCCTTGTCAGCAATCTACCCACTACCCACTTTTCTCCACAGTCAAGGGAGCCTGCAGACTCCCAGTGCCTGGCCAGAGTGGCTCTCAACAGCTGCCTCAGTTTCTCTTCTATGTTCCTCCCTTAGCTCCTGGTCTCAGGCACAGGCCTAAGCTGGAGGCTGTAGACTCTCCCTCCTCATTTGTGGCCTGAAAGTAGAGGCTCTCCCATTGTAAACGAGAGAGACGTTTTCACTACCCCATCCCTCTGGAATGACCAGGAAGTACCAGGATTAGCCAGCTGCACAAGGCCCTGGGCCTCAGTTTGTTCACCTATGGGCCTATAACGCACTTCCTACATGGTGAGAACATGTGTAGGGCCTCCGAGAACAGTGGGAGGGTCGTGACCCAAAAGGTGTCCGCAGGTCAGTGGTAACGTCTACTGTAATGGCAGCTCGGAGACTCCTTCCTCTGCCCGAGACCATGGTCTCTCTTCCTAGAGTACTCACTGTCTTTGTTCCATGGCTTCCTGGCACCTGGGGAGAGGGGGAGACAAAGGAACAGAGGGGACTAAGTGGGACGCTGCAGGTTGGCCATAGTTAGTCTGGGGCTGGCTCAGGGTGGGCACATGGAGGATCTGGAGAAGGCCACCCCCACCCCAGTGTGTTAGACACGCCCAGGTTCTCATACTCTCGACTGTCTAGCCCCCAGGCTCTCCTACCTGCAGGTTATCATGTCCTCACTGCCCCCCTCACTCTCAAACTCTCAGATCCACAATACCCCAAGTTCTCCTACCGCAGAGCTTATCACACCCAAATATCACCAATGTACCCCCACACCCCGGGTTCTCGCACCCCGGGTTCTCATACCCCAGGTTCTCACACCCCGGGTTCTCACACCCCAGGTTCTCACACCCCGGGTTCTCACACCCCGGGTTCTCACACCCCGGGTTCTCACACTCCGGGTTCTCACACCCCGGGTTCTCGCACCCCGGGTTCTCACACTCCGGGTTCTCACACCCCAGGCACCCCAGGTTCTCACACCCCGGGTTCTCACACCCCAGGCACCCCAGGTTCTCACACCCCGGGTTCTCACACCCCAGGCACCCCAGGTTCTCACACCCCGGGTTCTCGCACCCCAGGTTCTCGCACCCCGGATCCTCGCACCCCGGGTTCTCACCCTCCAGGTTCTCACACCCCAGGTTCTCACACCCCGGGTTCTCACACCCCGGGTTCTCGCACCCCGGGTTCTCGCACCCCGGATCCTCGCACCCCGGGTTCTCACCCTCCAGGTTCTCACACCCCAGGTTCTTGCACCCCGGGTTCTCGCACCTCGGGTTCTCACCCTCCGGGTTCTCGTACCCCGGGTTCTCACACCCCGGGTTCTCGCACCCCGGGTTCTCACACACCATGCTCCCACACTCCTGAGTTCTCATACCTCTGACCTTCAAATGCCTCTTCCTCCTCTCCTCTGAAATGTCTAATCACCTCTTCCCTGGCATTCTGGCCACATTAGGTGACTTCAGTTCTACTAATTAAGCTAATAATTAGCTATATTTTCAAACTCTCCTTAGCCTGTGATTTCTAAATGTCCTCCCCCACTCCCACCTATTACCAGCCGTGATGTACCCAAGATTGCTTAGATGAGCATAGTCTAGTCACTGTTTCCCTCAGTGATGGTCCAAAAGGTCCCATCTAGCAGGGAAAGCCAGGAGTGGATGGATTCCGAGCTGCTAGAAGAAGCCACACTTCAACACCACCCTGGCCACACTGCTGAGACTAAGACGTCCTCACTTAAGGGTGCCTCGTTCCTGGGGTCCTTCCTCTCCATCTTGCAAGGCCCTTCTTCTCCTCTCTGGTCTAGCAGCTCCCAACCACACTGGGTAGATGTCTCCATTTTGTCCATGTATTCCTCGAGGCCAAGGGGCTCGCCCATGGCCCTTGTAGAGGACAGTGGCTTTCTTGCTCTGTTCTTGGTGAGAAGGGCCCTCTAGAGGGTCATTAGGAGAGCTGGTGAATGGCCCTATCTCCAAACTTAAGCTCGGGTTTACCTCCGAGGGCCACCACTCTAAACCCAGTGGAACTCAGTGGGTCCTCTGTATATCAGGTAGTTATACTAGAAGGTATATCAGATAGGACTGATCGTTAGGAAGATGTATGAAGCTCAGAGCCCAGGCCTGTGAGGAGCCACAGCCCTGCTGTCCTCCAAGTCATATTCAGGAAAAGGGGACATGATGAATTCTGATCTGTGTGGGTCCCCAGATCTTTTATAAAGATAATTAGGTTTTTGTGTATTTGGGGTCACAACTAATATTTCCCCGTCTGTGGCCATGGAAGAAAGGAATTTAGGAAACACACAATCTTGTCACCCTGGCCCTGCCCTGTGACCATGGGTTGGGGTCAGCTCATCCACCGATTCCCATTGGGGCTGGCCCTGGCTATCAGACACTGTTGGCTGACTGGGTGGTGGCAGAGGAGAAGCCACAATGCTGGAGGTGGCACGGTAGGACCCATGGGCTCTGAAGAGGGTGGTGGAGGGGATCGAGAGCCTCCCGCTCTCCCTGGGCACCTGGGACAGGCAGGTCAGGGTCAGAGACTGTAGGCTCGTGGCTCGGGATGAGTGAGTCTCGACAAGGACATGCCTCTGGGTCCCTAAGGCAACATAGGCTGGTGGTCAGCGTGTCCTGGTGACTCCTGAGCTGCTGCAGGTGAGGCTGGCTGCCCAGTGCACTTAAGAATCTGGTCCCCTGGTTCCTATACCCTCTCCAGGGTCCTGGGCCATTTGGCCCGGCTCTGTCCACTACAGAAAACAGGTTGGCCAACCACTTGCTTATTCCTCTCGCAGCTGACGAAGAGGCTCCGGATTATGGCTCAGGTGTCCGTCAGTCAGGGACTGCTAAAATCTCCTTTGATGACCAGCATTTTGAAAAGGTACTGGGAAGGCTTGCCTGGTGTACCGAGGAACCCCTTCCCCTGAACCCTAGGCTCTAAGGGTCAGCCCTGGCAGGGTCCCATGGGCTTGGCGTCTTTTCTCTCTCCCTGAGCGCTGTGTCTGTCCCGTCCCTGGCTGTCTCAAACACACAATGTCCCTCCCCCAGTTTGTCAGGACCCACTTGGTCCAACCATCTTCCTGAGTCTCACACAGCAAGGCGTAGAGCTGGTAAGTAGAGCCAGCTTTTAGAATAGGCACCCCCCAATCTCCCTTCTCTTGGGTTAGCTGTTCTCGGGGTTCCCAAAGCATACTATAATTTCTACCATCCTTCTTCCTGCCTTCCCCAAAACCTGTGAGGATGAGGACAACCCCATTGAGGCCACCCTCTGACCCCCACAGAAAAAGTTATCTGAGGAGCCGGTAGAGGGATTAATCCCATGCAGTGCCCCTCCCCGGGTGGCTTATTTAGCTGTCTAGCTTCAGATCTCAGTCTTAGGATGTTCAAGATGGAAGAGCTGCCTGTGACCTGCCGCAGGAAGTGCCCTGGTTGGTAGAACTGAAGGCCAGGAATGGTTTCTGGTTTCCCTTCACTATGCCTCTTGCATGGAGGCAGGCAGAGTGTTCTCAGGCATTTCACACCTCAGCTCATCTAAACCAGAGAGTCGGAAGTAGAGTGGTCTAGAGAGGTGGGTGGCTTCATCTGGAGGTCAGTGGCAAGGCTGGCTCAGGGCCCGAGACCCAGGCCCCGGGGCACAGATCTCTATAGCCTGTGACAGGGAGGCTTTAGCTCAGCCATCTAGCTGCTCCCGGGCTTTCTCAACCCTGTGTCTTCACAGTTTCAGTCTGAGTCCTGCCCTGTGGTGGGGATGTCCCGCTCAGGGACCTCCCAGGAGGAGCTGCGCATTGTAGAAGGCCAGGGTCAGGGTGCTGACTCCGGGCCTTCAGCTGACGAGGTCAACAACAACACCTGCTCAGGTAGGCGCAGCCCCACTGTGTGGAAACATGGATGTGTGGGACCAGGGCCTGAAGAGCATGGAATCTAAAGGCCCCACGCTCTGCTCTGGCTCCCCACAGCTGTGCCTCCTGAAGGCCTCCTAGACAGCCCTGAGAAGTCTGCCCTGGATGGGCCCCTGGACACGGCCCTGGACCACCTCCGTCTAGGCAGCACCTTCACCTTCCGCGTGACAGTCCTGCAAGCATCCAGCATCTCTGCTGAATATGCCGACATCTTCTGCCAGTTCAAGTGAGCCTGTTGTCCATGCCCTGGGATACTGGGAAGTAGGATGCTCTCCCGAGGGGCGTGCAGCCCACATAGGCTGTGCTGGGGGCCATGCAGGCTCATGCAATGCCCAGTGAGGCCACAGGTCCTTGCTGCAAGTCCTTGCTCCAAGTTCCTCTTCTTGATCTGCAGCTTTATCCACCGCCACGATGAGGCCTTCTCCACTGAGCCCCTGAAGAACACTGGCAGGGGACCCCCTCTTGGCTTCTACCATGTCCAAAATGTAAGTCTTGGCCCTTATCCCCCAACACCCAAGGGCCTTCCCATGCATTCTTTCTCCTCTGAACGGACTGTCCTGGGGGCTGTCTGGCACCAGGTTATAGAACCTCTGTGCCGATACTGACATTGTGGTTTGTTAGCAGGGGCATCTGTAGTGTTTAAAATTGGAGCCTAGGGTCAGAATAGAGCTCCTGAAAGCTGCTCACAATGAGCCTTGGGTAGACACAGACACAGAGCATCCAGGGATGTCATGGCTGGAATTGGTGCTGAGGGCTGGCTGGGCCTGGAGTGCTGTGTTTTCATGGATACTGAACACTTTCAGATACGATCCATACTTCCCCCTTTTTCCCTCTAGATTGCGGTAGAGGTGACCAAGTCCTTCATCGAGTACATCAAGAGCCAGCCTATTGTGTTTGAGGTCTTCGGCCACTACCAGCAGCACCCATTCCCACCTCTTTGCAAGGATGTGCTCAGGTCATCTGCCTAGGTCACCCAAGTGTCCTTGTCTCCAGGCTACAGAGCCCATGTACCCGATGCCCTCTCCTTAGCTTTCTGGGATGGTCAGAGCATGGCCCGGCCTGCCTCTCTCCTTTGGAACCAGGTTCTTTAAAAAGACCATTGCTGTCAGAGCCTTGCCATCAGCCAAGCATGGGAAGCATCCAGGGCATAACCGGGTGTTGCTGCCCGCTGACCACTTCCAGGAAGGGAACACCTGTCTGACTCCCTCATTCTTTGTGGGGGAGGTGAGGGAGGGAAGTCTCAAGAGGCTAGGGTGTGAGGTTACCTGTAAGCCATCTCACCCTGTGTCCAGGAGGTGGGATGGGAACGCCAGCCACCCTGGGGCCTGGAGATTTGTTGAGAGGCCTTCCCTTCTCTCCAGTTCTATCTCTCTTCAGCTGAGCAGACCTCACAGCTGAGGGATGCCCGGGATATGATAATGGAAGAGGGAGGCAACAGAGATTATTTGGGACACTGCGTCCCTGGAGCCTTGAGAGCCTCTGGGATGGTGTCCAGGGCCCCAAGGGTTCCTCCTTTCACGTCTAAGTGTATACCAAGACCTGGGTTCTTCCTGGGTCTGATGAACAGGGGAATAAGGAATCCACGAATGGGCTTCTGATCAGCCTGCCCTACCTTGGGCTGCCCCAGGACTCACAGACACCAGCCTAGGTCTGCTCACTCTGGCTTTCCTCCACAGCCCCCTGAGGCCCTCACGTCGCCACTTCCCCCGGGTCATGCCGCTATCGAAGCCAGGTAGGTGAGACTCTCCCGAGTCCAGTGGGGCAGTGACGGCCCACACGATGGGTGCAAGTGTGGTTGAACCTGCTGTGAATGTAATGGTTTTTCAGGCTGCAGATGACACAGCACATGTCTTTGGCCTGTGGAGTGTACAGGCTTTGTGCCCTGCTCTTCAGCCCTGTCCACAGTTTAGACCCAGTGACAGGTGACATGATGAACAATCGAAGGGGACTTCAAGGAAGGGCCCAGAGCAGGAGCTGTGGACAGACATGGTTGGGCCCAGGAATATGGGGGTGGGGCGGGGTGGGCAGAAGCGGTCAGGAGGTAGGCATATTGGAGAGCCAGCAGAACTGAGTGTAGGGCGTCCTGGGCGAGGCGTGGGTGCTGGCAGGACACACTTGGACTGATAGATTCTGCTGTGGCCAAGGGTAGCTCAGGTAACAGGGCAGGCAGCGGGGTCCTGTTCGTGTGATAGGACCTCTGAGCCAGTGTCTCTGCTGTCCTGGTGGTGCTCGGCGTCTCAAGCCACCACCCTCATACCCAGACGCGGAAGGCCACGTGCTCCTATGTGGGTGTGGAAAGCATAAGTGGCCACTCATGTGAGACCAGTGCCAGATCTCTCATGCCTGAGTGGGCAGAGCTAGGGGGACCTGGCCGTGGGTACGCCAGTTGGGCACCTCTGTTTGGGCAATGTGTTGCCCATGCAGCCTGTGTGGCACTCTCCCTGAGTACCCCCACGGCGACATTGCTTTCTTGTCTTCCTAGTGCCTGCCACTAAGCTCAGCACCATGACGCGGCCTTCCCCAGGTCCCTGCCATTGCAAGTACGACCTGCTGGTCTACTTCGAGATCTGCGAGCTGGAGGCCAATGGCGAGTGAGTTGGCACCCAGAGTGCCCATGTTGGGCACCAGCTTGGGGTCCAAGAGTCTGTGATGATGAAGGGCACTGGGAACGGTGTTCTGAGGGCAGCTGAGAATCCACAGTGGCTAACATGGGAAGGGAAGGTCGGTGGGCTCTGAGCTGATGTCTGGGGAGGTCCAGCACCAGGTTCTCCTTGAGTGCCCCAGTCTTAAGGCATGGAGCACAGAAGCCCTTACACACAGTACCCAGGTCATTGGGTGTAGATTTCTGACTTGTAGGGTGTGAAAGAGAATATGAGAGCTGCTGTAGAGAGCTAGCCCAGAAGGACCTGCTCTCCTCAAGGGGTGGTCAGTGATCCCGCTTTCAGCTCTGCTGACTCTGGGACAGAGAGGGGTTTTGCACCTCACCATCACTGTCTTTTCCAGTTACATCCCTGCTGTGGTAGACCACCGTGGAGGGATGCCGTGCATGGGGACCTTCCTCCTCCACCAGGTGGGAAGCCTCACCTGCCCTCCTCAAACCTGGCCCTGCTCCAAAGTCCCCCGTGTCCCCAGTGCCCCCTGACGGTTCCCTCTCCTGGCATGTGACAGGGCATCCAGAGACGGATAACTGTGACGCTGTTGCATGAGACGGGAAGCCACATCCGCTGGAAGGAAGTGCGAGAGCTGGTTGTGGGTGAGTGGTGTGGGTAGGGGTTACCTCAGGAGTGGACTATTGTGGACAAAACCCTGGGTTCTAGCCACAGTTCCGTCCTGTGCTGTGTGGCTCTGGCTAGGTCACCAAGCCTTTCTGTGCTTCAGCACATCGCCTGTAAGGGAGGAGAGCCCTGGATCTGTGCTATAGAACCAAGTTTCTACCTAATCTGTGTTGCCCTTCCAGGGTAGTGCATCACAGAAAAACAATGGAAAACTGCCAGGTGTCACCGTTCTGGAAATCAGGGTGCCAGCAGGCTGTCTGGGGCGCGGCAGGGTCCTTCTCTGCTTTGCCTGGTCTTGGGAGGTGGCTGTAGTCCTGAGTGTCCTTAGCTTGTGGAAGACTGCTCCAGTCCTCAGCTTTACCGGGCGGGCTCCATGCGCTTTGATGGTACCAGACATAGGGCTGTCACGCTCACTCCAGGATGACTTTAGCTTGGCTAATGGCACTGCTGTGCTGTGGGGTTGGGACTCTAGCACATCTTGTAGGGAGGACAAGAACACTGTCTTTCTCTGTGACCTCCCCTTTTGAACTCCGCTTTACCAAGCTGTCCTCTAGACTCTCACTTGGGGATATCTACCCATGTAGATATCCGTCCCAGGACGTAGCTCCTCTACCCTGGAGCCAAGGCATCTCTATCTAGAAGCTCCTCCCAGTCCTGGGTAGGCAGGATCTCAGGACCAGTGTCCTTAGGCTGACCTGTCATCCTGTGTCCCAGCATACAGGGCTGTGGAGAGCTGATCTGGGTACCAGGATGGACACTTGTGTTTTACAAGCTCTGTGTCAGGGATCAGAAAAAGCTGAAATCAGTGATCAAAGCGTCCTATGGGGAGAGTCCAAACTGAATCAGTTCCAAGACCAAGGTCAGGCCCAGCACCTGGCTTCTGAACCAAGCTATCTCTGGAGTGGGGGCAGCTCTGCCTCTGCTGTCACCCAGTGGTGTCCCACCCCACCGTGTCCTCCAATTTAGATGGACAGCCCAGACTGCCTTAAATCTCACCTTCTCCGCTTCTAAAAATGCAGACACCAAAAGCTGCCAATTTGGGGTGGCAATGGGGACTTAAGGGAAGTAGGGGAGATACTGCTGTGATCACTCAGTCCCATTCAGGTTATAGCCAAGCCTGGCATCGCTCCCAGGAAGGCATGGGTCTTTTAGATCCCGTGAAGTGGACATTGTGGAGATGGGCCAGCAAAGTAAGGAAAGACAAGAGCCCCTGGGGGGCATGAGCTCCGTATAGGTGGCCTTTTGAGGAATACAGATGATCCTAGCCATGTCCTCACCTCCCTCTTGTGTCCTGCCAAGTATGTCCATCAGATCCTCAGGCGGAGAGCTCTATGAAGGCCAGTTCCCAGGGTTGAGTATCTGCTCTGGGCAGGTTTCCTTGCCCTAAACTTCTCCTTGTCATGGGTATCCCAAGCAATGGAGAGTCCGGCATCAGGAAAGGACTGGCTGGAGGACCCCAAATTGCCTCCTCCCAGAATCCTCATGCTGTAGAGCTACAGGGAACTGGGCAGGACTGCCCAGGATGTGCAGCGGAGGAGAGGGAAGCTGGTCACTCTGCTGCTGGAGCAGAGGACTTGTGAGTCATCTGTGTGCTCCTTTCAATGGGCAGAAAGTTGCTTCCAGGGTGAGGAATTATGAGATGAAATGTCTCTCTCACAGACAGACAGATGGACTCCAAAAGTAGGCATCTCCTAGGCCCTGGAAGAGTGGCTAGTGAGCAAAGGGCGTATACATGGACAATGCGGCCTTCTCCCTTCATTATTGTTATGTTAAGCATAAAATGGGGTAGGTTCATCCCCTCCTCGTCCCACAGGTAGCTTGCTAAGCTAGGTAGCTGAGATCCACCAGAAAGTGTAACTAGAGTTGAAAAATAGAATGCAGCCCTCTATGGAAGGAGACAGAGAAGGGAGGCATTGGCTCTGTCACAGGAGCCACCAGGTCTCCATCAGCCTCCTGGTCCACCCTAGTGCCTTTTACTCATGGCCAGCAGTCATGTAGGGAATCCGCTTGCCACCCTGGCTTCTGTCCAGAGGCCTCAGCATCCCTTGATCATCAGCCTTCCTGGGCAATGACACCCAGCCACTGCCCTTCCCACAGGTCGCATCCGAAACACTCCAGAAACTGACGAATCTCTGATTGACCCCAACATCTTGTCCCTCAACATCCTCTCCTCGGGATATGTCCACCCAGCCCAGGATGACCGGTGAGTCACGAGAAGGGTGGGGAGAACCACAACTCCTGCTGACCAGCTCCCACCCAGGTCAACCGCCAGCCTGCCATGGTCTCTACTGACCCAGCCACTCATGCCCCGGCCTGCTCCAGGCCTACATACCCTCTTTCTAACACCTAAAGGGACAGTGCAGTGAGCAATGGCCTGTGGCCTCCAAGTCTCTCTGCTCCCTTGATTGCATGTCTCCTATCCCTGGTTTATACTCTTCATGTCATCCTGTCTGTCGCCTGGTGAGTGCCAGCATAGGCTCAGGGTCCTGTCCCTGGGAGTTTGTAGGTAGATGGTTGGTGGCATGGGGCGGGAGACTTAACATGCAGGCCATGCTTCTGAGGACCACACTGGTATGAACAGGTCTGAAGTCTCTAGCAAGGGCCCCAGGGATGTGGGGATCACGAAGGCAGTCCAGAGCCCACAGAACTGGCATTTGAGCAGCTTGAAGAGGGGTGACTGTGGGTCACCACTGAACACATGCTTTTCATGGCTTTCCAAGCTCCAGAGGGTCCCAGCTCCCATCCTCATTTGAACAGTAGAGGGGCAGCGGACCTCTGAGATGTTCTTGGCAGCCCTGAAGGGTTTGCCAAGGTGCGTGGGTATGACAGTCCTCACAAAGGCTGCCAACGGCCAGGCACTGCAGGAGTCACCCTGCCAAGGCGGATGCCCAGCTGGACAAAATTGCCTGGGACACAGTCTTCCAAGGATTTGTGGAGCGTTTGGCAGGGGCTGAGCCCCAGCCTGGTTCTTCCTCAGCCTGGCCCAAGGCCAAGGAGCCAAGAGCTGACCCAGGACCTATAGCTGAGGCTGTTTGTGGCAAAACATTTTTTTGAGGGTGTGACAGACACCCTTGGAGAGGCGCAGGAGGATCACACCCCTGTGAGGGATTGTATGGACCCAGAATCCTGGGTGTGGCTTGTTCTTCCAGCTTCTGGGTCCAGAGCTCTACTTCTTCACAGACACCTGGGGAGACACCAGAACAGGTCCTCCCCAAAGCACCATAGGCAGCCTCAACCAGGAGCCCGGGCTGGGCCGCAGTGGGGACAGTGAACAGGACAGAGACTAGGGTGTACACATGTGGCTCTGCTCCTCATCCTGTGCTCCTGGAGGTGTTCTCTTGGGAAGATGGCACTAGGAGGGGTAGGCTGGAGTTCACGTCGAGGAATAGGAGGAGCGCCAGACCACGACGTGAGCCGGGACCTAGAGCGTCCTCTGGTCTTCCATCGCCTCTTGCTCTGCAAATGGACCCTGCTGAGGCAGGAGACCTATGACCACTCCTAATACGGGTGCTGCCCCTGAGTGTAGGCCATGGTACCTGGGCATGGGAGTTCAGGGCCATGGAGGCGAGGGTGGGCACTGGGAGGCCCCGTCTGACACTGAGTGCTAAGAGGTGCTTTGGGGTCTGGGAGTGACTTAACTCCCCTGACCTCTGACCCACCCACTGCAAGACATTCTGGGAGCAGAGGAGGGTGGGACCAGGCCAGTGGGTAGGTGGGAGCCTTCTGGGCCATCCTTCCTGTTGTCTCCTTGTATTGAAGACCTTGTGGCCGGTGTCTTCTTGTCATCCGCTCCCCACCAGCTCAGCTGTTGAGAGCAACTAGGAGGCCAAGACTCATTGTCCCTCAGCTGACAGAACCTTGGTTAACCAGGCTCGGCCCTGGCGCTGGACTGCCTAGCTTCTGTCCTATTCCGTGTCCAACCCCACACCTAGGCTGGAGCCCCTGGGTGCCAGGAAGAGGGAAGACAGACGTGGCCGCTGGCTTGGCTCCTGCCCTTGCTGTTCCTGCTGGTGCAACCTCAGCCTTCCCTACCCCAGAAAAGTCTCAGGCACGCTCCTTAGTCCATGGCCTCCTCCCCAGGGCCCACTGGGGCCAGCTTCCTGTTCCCTGGACATGGCTGACATCTTAGGAGCCTTTGAGGGCCAGGCTGCTCAGAGACCAGCCACTGTGGAGAGGCTGAGGCTTGGGCCCGGCCCAGCTCTGCCCAGGGCCTCAGGCTACCATGCGCTTTGCCACACCTGGGCCTCTTCCTGCTCCGTGGTCCCTGCTTTGCAGACCCCCTGGCCCTGAGTGGGTCTGCCAGCCACAGGCGGCTGCCCGCCACTGCCGCTTGCTGCTGCTCCCCTGCTGTCCCGCTGCCCACCCGCAGCCCTTCACTAACGTGTGGTTGTTTGTGTTTTGCAGGCAGTTTCTTGATTCGGACATACCTAGGTACCATTTCTGTCCCTCGGTTTGATTTCGGCCTCTTCCCTTCCCTTCCCCTTCCCCGGTCACCTACACAACCCTGGAATTTTTAATTTCTAGCTTTTTCAACTCATAACTTGCTCACCTTTCCTTCCTGTTTCTCCCTCCTTTTAATTTCGTTTCCTTGGTATAATAGCGTTCTGGTTTTTATTTTTATTCTCCTCCCCCAGCCCCACCTTCCTGGCTGAGTCTCTCCCGCCTCCTCTAGCCTTCACTCCTGATCTCGGCTGCTTTTGTAGTTCTCTGCCTCTGTAGACACTGGCCGGCTCCTGCTCCTCCCATCCCAGCCTTGCCTTCTATGCCAACCTCTAGCCTGGCCACAGTGGGTGCAGGTATCTCCCGCATGCAGGCTGGACAACCCGGCTGCTGGGCTGCACCAGCTCCCAAGGGCCAGCCACTTCCTGCAAGGGGTCGTAGCAGGCAGAGCCGGGAGCATGGGGAAGGGGCAGACAGGACCCACTGCCAGGAGACTCGAGCTCCCATGTGCTCCACAGCTGCCAGGGAGCCCTTTCCAGGCCAAGTCAGGAAGAGGGACATCACGCGAGCCTCACTTTACCCCAGCCATGGCCTCGGCCTCGCTTCTTGGAAGTGGCAGGCACTAACTCCACGAGGAGACTAGCAGGCTTTTGAACGTGGCTTGTGCCCATTTCAGACTCACTTACCAGTGCTGGGTCCTGGTAGGGGAGATTGCTGCAGCTTCCTTTCGCATTGGCCTGTGCCGGGACTCAGTGCTCACTGGGAAAGGACAGCCTTCAAGTCCCGAGTCCATACTGAGTCCAGGGAGAACTTGGGGCTGTTCTGAATGGAAGGCCAAGCAAGATGCCACCTTCTGGGCACTGGCAGGACGGTGGCCAGAGCTTCGTGGTGGTTATCTGTCTCATGGGTCAGCTTTCCTAAAGTCATGAACGCTTAAACCTGTAAGCTGCTCCACCTACACAGAGCTCTAGGGTGGAGTGGGCAAAGCCGGGACTTCAGGTGTGTCCTTGTGGTCATGGCTGTCATGGTCTGAGCAGAAAGTATTCATTTGCTGCCTTGCCTGGGTACCTGGGAGTGGGGGCCCCAGAAGGAGACTCTATGGGGTTATAGAACAGAGGTTCTTTGGAGCATATTCCTTGGGCCATAATAGGTGTGGGACACATTTGAGTTATTGACCAGATCTTTTTCACGTGATACTGTGGGCCAAGAGCCGAGTGGACACTCCCTGGGGACCTGGGGCTAAAGGAGGCAGAAACCTCGTCAAGAGACACCTGGAGTGGTGGTCACATGCAAGCAGAGGACACAGCTCTGCCAAGCCTGAGCATTTCTCCCTACCAAGATCAGCTGGGTGGGCTCACTGGAGGAGGTGGCATGTGAGCTGGCTTTGGAGGCAAGTGATCTATGCTCAGACCAAAACAGAACTGGGCATCCGTCTGCTGGCGGCCTCTGTGTGTTAGAGAGGTCTTCTTAACTGGACCAGGTAGTTCCAGCAACAGATATCTAGTACCTCCAGGAGTGTTAGTAACCGGCCTAGGGCTTGACCTCATGAGAGGGAAGGAAGGAAGGGAGGAA